TCTTCTCCAAAGACCACCATGGAGTGGAAGGGCTGGCTCTGTACCTTCTCCGGGGACCAGGGACAGCTACATATTTTGTAAGGTCTGGTGCAAAACAAAAATGCAGGACCTCTTGTTCAAAAAGCAAGAACAAAGCCATTTTCTTTATTCTACTGTCAATCTATCATGGTGGTTACTTGCTGTTTACTGTCCAGAACCCTCAGACAGGGAAATACTCTGGGGCAGGTGCCCATAGGCACTCTGGTTTCTACCCCACAACTTGGTACAAATGTACCCAAACCTGACCCTGACCTAGACCCTCCCTGTGCCTACACCCAGGTTCCTGCTGGGGAAGGAGGGTGGCAGCTATCGCCAGGTAGGGGCAGGAAGCTAGCAGTCAAGAACCCATTTAGGGGAGGCAGGACTCCAGCACTTCCAAAACATAAATACAAAGGTAGAATCATTAAGAATTTCAAGACAACCATAGTGCATTAACCCCAAACACAGGACCCCTTCAGAGCATGGGATCATGGTAGACTACAGCACCAAACACCCATTAGGTTGGCCCAGCCTGGGCCCTCTCTCATGTCAAGGTCCCCTTTGGTCAATCTTTGTCCTGTGAACTGGAAGCTGTAGGAGGGTAGGGAATTACAAGGCTTGCTGACACCACTTTACCTTTCATCTTGGTTTCAGCAGGCTGTGGCCCCGGTCCTCGCCCTCAGGGCAGCTGCAGAATCCCAGGGGCCACCTCTCAGGATCCTTAGTCCTCTCTTACTCCCAGTATGGCGTGAGAGGTCCTACCCGGCTCCTCAGGGTGCAGGACCTGAAAGCCTCTTAGTCTATGGCTTGGGCTCCAGGATGAAACTGCCCCCACCCCTTCCCCTTGAACTAACTTGGTGGGGTCTCAGGAGACTGAACCGGGATCAGAACCCTCCTTGACCATTTGCTTCCCTGACACACAGTCCAGAAAAATATCTTTCAAGTGGCTTCTCAACCATTCTTCATCGTGTCCATTTGCTCCCAGTAGTAGACAGAATAATGGTCTGGGTAAAGAAGTCCATGTCCTAACCCACCAAAACTAAATGAATGTTGCCCTGACCGGTTTGGCTCAGTGGATAGAGCATCAGCCTACAGACTGAAGGGTCCCAGGTTCAATTCCGGTCAAGGGCATGTACCTTGGTTGCGGGCATTCCCCAGTAGGGAGTGTGCAGGAGGCAGCTGAATTGATGTTTCTCTGTCATCAGTGTTTCTAACTCTCTATCCCTCTCCCTTCCTCTCTGTAAAAAAAATCAATAAAATATATTAAAAAACAAACAACTAAATGAATGTTACCTTACACAACAAAAAGGATTTTGCAGATGTAATTAAATTGAGGGTCTTGAGATGGGGAGTGTTATGGGCTGAATTATGTGCCCCCCAAACCTATATGTTGAAACTCTAACACCCAGTGCCTCAGAATGTGTTTATATTTGGAAATAGGGCCTTTAAAGAGGTGATTACGTTAAAATGAGGCCATTAAGGTAGGCCCTACTCCAATCTGACTGGTATCCTTATAAGAAGAGGAAACTGGACACATAGGAAGACACCAGAGATGTACACACACAGAGGAAAGACTGTCAGAGGACACAGCAAGAAGGCGGATGTCAAAAAGGAGGAGGAGGAGGAGGAGGAGGAGGAGGAGGAGGAGGGGGAGGGGGAGGAGGGGAGGAGGAGGAGGAGGGGGAGGAGGAGGGGGAGGGGAGGGAAGGGGGGGGGGGGGGGGGGGGGGAAGGGAGGGAGGGGAGGAGGAGGGGGGGGGAGGAGGAGGAGGAGGAGGAGGAGGAGGAGGAGGAGGAGGAGGAGGAGGGGCGGTTGTCTGAAAGTCAAGGAAAGAGGCTTCAGAGGAAACTAAACCTGCCAACCCCTTGATCTTGGGCTTCCAGCCTCAACTGTGAAGAATAAATTTGTTGTTTAAGCCGCCCAGACTATGGCATCCCTAGCAAACTAACACACAGGGAGGCTATCCTGGACTGGGCAGGGAACAATGTAATCACCAGGGTCCTTACAAAAGGAGGCAGAAAGATCACAGATAGAGATGTAATAGACAGGGATCAGACTCAGAGAGAGAGAGTTGAAAATACTACACTCCTGGCTTTTTTTTAAAAGTGGTTTAAAACAATGATTATTTGTTATTTCCATAACTGGCTTGAAAGATGGAGAAAGGGGCCACAGGCCAAGGAATGCAGGTAGCCTCTAAAAACTAGAAAAGGCAAGTAAACATCTTCCTCTGGTGCCTCCAGAGGAAGGCAGCCCTGCTGACATCTTGATTTTATCACCAGAAAACGCATTTTGGATTTCAGATTCCCAGAACTGTAGAATTAATTTGTGTTGTTTTTTCAATGTGGTTATTTATTTATTATTTATTTTAGAGAGAGAGGAAAGGAGAGGGAGAGGAACACTGATCGACTGCCTAAACCCAGGCATGTGCCCTGACTGGAAAATGAACCTGTGACCTTTTGGTGCACGGGATGACGCTCAACCTACTGAGCCACACCAGCCAGGGCAATTTGCATTGTTTTAAGCCACTAAATTAGTGACAAATTCTTAGAGCACCTACAGAAAACTAATGCACACACACTACAACTTCTGCAAGTACTGTTTTCTAAAAAAAAAATTTGCTTAAATAAAAAAGTCTATTTCCCAAGTTCCTCCCATTCCTACAGCTGCTCCTTCATAGCTGTGTCCCAGAAAGTCTTCCTGATCCCACTGGCAACAAGGCCTTTTCACATCACATACCAGCAGGATCATTAGTGTGTGATACCTAAAATGCATTTTGGGGACCTGGGATAGGCAGCCCATATGAATGGTTATCACAGGTAATTTGTTGAGGGATTTGCTGGACCATGGCAAGAGCCCTCCCATACTTTCTGACACAGGCTATAGAGCCATTCTCTACACACTAGTGGGGCCACACCCTACTGGAGCCAGTTCTGGGTATGGGAGGAACAAGACTTCCTGGGCAGTCGGGCAGCTTCCAAGGCCCCAAAAGTAAAGCTAGTACAACTGATAATCTTCCAGCAGCGTAACAGACCGAGTCTCAACATTATCTTGCTGATTTTTGTCCCTAATCAACAATCTGCCAGTGATGCTGGATGCCCCTTTCCCTGTCACCCCCTCACCATGCATCTTAAGGAGGGCTTAAAGCCTGCCTTTCAAGGATCCTATTTTTTCACCATGCCTTCATGTCTCTTGAGTGGCTCACTTAAGGTTATATCAGGCAATGCTATTTCTCCCATCTTCAGTAATCTTAGTGTTTCTGACCCACAGAAGTTGAAATCAAAGGAAGAGACAAAATAAAAGAAGATACAGGGACAAAAAGGCAGATGATTTGGGGGATTGGAAGTATCCAGGCAGCCCTGGCAAGAGGCCCCAATGGCTCAAGACAGTGAGACTAGAGCTTTAAAGCAGGTGGTATTTTTTGTTTCTTTTTAGCTTAGGTACGTTGGCATAGGGGCAGGATCCTATTTTAAAGGGCTGGCTCAGTGGATAGAGCGTCAGCCTGTGGACTGAAGGGTCCCAGGTTTGATTCCAGTCAAGGGCATGTACCTTAAATGTAGGCACATCCCCAGTAGGGGGCGTGCAGGAGGCAGCTGAATTGATGTTTCTCTCTCATCCATGTTTCTAGCTCTCTATCCCTCTCCCTTCCTCTGTGAAAAATCAATAAAATATATTTTTTAAAAAAGGGGGGGGGATCTTAAGACTCAACTTTCACCAGGGCTGGTGTGGCTCAGTTGGTTGAGTGTAGGGAGCGGCTATAGGGTTAAGCCTTGGACTGACCTGCTGGCAAAGCCACAAACAAGTCCCAGCTTAGAGGGCAGAGCCCTCTTAGCATAATTAGGTTTGACCTAATGACACTCCCTAGATCTTATCTGGGTAGCTAATGGGCTGTGGGAGGTGCAGCAAGTGCTGCCAAAACAAGTGAAACTCACAAGAACATTATAACTATGGTGACCACTACCTTGTTTACCTCTGGCTGTAAAATAAAGGCTCGGCTTGCTGTCTGGGTCTCTCCCTGTGGCCTCAGCCAGGCACAGGAAGATCCACCCAGACCCAGCTTATTCTCTTTGTCTTTTCTACATCCTTTTCCGCCTCCTCCTCCCCCTAGGCTCACCGAACCCTTGGCTGAGCTGGCCTGGCACAGTTGAGTATTGTCCCATGCACCAAGAGGTTGTGGGTTTGATTCCTGATCAGGGCACATGCCAGAGTTGCAGGCTTGATGCCCAATAGGGGGCATACAGGAGGCAGCTGACTGATGTTTCTCTCATTGATCTCTCTCTCGCCCCCTTCTCCCTTCCTCTCTAAAATCATATTTTTTTAAAAATCAACTTTCCCAGAGATTATAACTTGGTGCAGCCACTATGCAAAAAGTATGAAGATTCCTTAAAAATAGAGCTCCCATACAGCCCAGCAATACCACTTCTGGGTATTTATCTGGAGAAAACGAAAACAACAATTTGAAAGGATATATGTATCCCTATGTTCACTGTGGCATTCTTTACCATAGCCAAGATATGGAAATAACCTAGGTATCCATCAATAGATGAATGGATAAAAGATGTGACATATACTATATACAAAATGGGATATTACTCCACCATAACAGAATGAAACCTTCCATTTGTGACAACATGGATAGACACAGAAGGCATTGTGCTAAGTGAATAAGTCAAAGACAAACACTGTATTTCATCTGTGGAATATAAAAATCAAAACAAATGAATAAACAAAACAGACCCATTAGAATATAGAGAAAGGGATGGGGGGGGGGGGGGAAGAACCAACTTTCTCAATGTCCTCATTTAGGAGAGAGAAACTGAAGCTCACAGAAATGAAAGGACTTGCTCAAGGTCATAGTTTTTTCAGTGCTCCAGAACCAGAACCCAGGACTTAATCCTCACTGGGCATCTTCACTGGCCCAGGTACCTGGGTTCCTAGGAATGGGAGCAGGAGGAACTGGAGAAAAAGAAGTATGGAGAAAGGGGCATATTCCCTACATTTCTCAGTTTAATTTTGCAAATTTTTTAAATTCAACTTGGAAAATGAATACAAATCCCTGGGTATTTTTTGTCAGGGGTGGAGAGAGTAGCGGGGGGGCGGGGGTCGAGGCCAGGTATGAGCATCACATTGGCCATCTCATGTCCACATCCTTGTCCAGGGAGGGGGGGTGGAGGTTGAGCAGGGGGCTCAGGTCCGGATAAAGACCATGGTAAGGAGGCCTGGAGAGGGGAGAAATAAAGAGCAAGAAATAATGAGTAGCCCTGGAGCTCTGGGAGCCCTCTTCCCAACCCTTACCCCTCTTTCTCTGGGGCTCACATCCCCTCACCACTACTGTGCTCACCCAAGATGTAGGCTGCCACCAACTTTTGTCCCAGGGAGACATGCAGGATTTGGGGCAGCTGGCTACCAAGTTCATCCTGGAGTGGGAGCAGCAGGAAGGCCACTGAGACTATGCCGGTCAGCAAGAACAGGAGGAAGGAGCTGGTGGCCAGTTGTGGGTGGGATTCTGGGAAACAAGGCTTGTCAGAAGCTCCAGACCCAACTCCTCCCCAACCCAAGGTCCTCCTGGGAGAAGGCTGAAGACGGAAGGTGTATCCACTTTTATTGCCCTTCAGAAGCACACAATGCAAGTGTCCTCTCCTCCCTACAGCCTCTGTCCCCACAGCCACAAGAAACCCTCTCTCCTCTGGTCCCTCAGCAATTTTCTTCTTCTCTCTTCACTCTGCCTGATTACTGGTTTCTGTGCACCTGTCTGTTAGGCAGGGAACTCCTTTTCCCAGACCCAGCATACAACTTGGTATGGCATAATTGCTCAGTACAGGTTTCTTATGGAACCGAACTGAGCTGGCATATAATAGAAAGTATTCAAGTTAAAGTTAAGGAAAAATTTTCCCATTTAAGTATGGAAGCCAGAAACCAGGTAAACTGCAAAATATGTTTGTTCCTTAATCCTATATAATAAAAGCCTAATATGCTAAGCATCTGGTCAGCCCTTCAACCAATCAAAGTGTAATAGGCTAATGATATGCTAAGGACGCTCAACTGCTCACTATGATATACACTGACCACCAGGGGGCAGATGCTCTGACCTGTAGGTTAGCTTGCTGCTGGGGTCCCGTCCATTGGGATTGGGATTGAGCAAGATGGGCCGGACATGCCCTGGAGCCCTCCTGTGGTCACTCCCCAGCTGGCCAACCTCCCGCGTCCCTCCCTGGCCCTGATTCCCGGTCCCGATTGTGCGCCGGTGGGGTCCCTCAGGCTGGCCTGTGCCCTCTCGCAATCCAGGACCGCTCGGGCAATGTCAGAGAGCCAGTTTCGGCCTGATCCTGCAGGGATCAGGCTGAGGGACTCCACTGGTGCATGAATTCGTGCACCGGGCCTATAGTGTAATATAAAATCTCAACTCCTAGAAACATTTTCACAAAAAGCCAATAAACTAAACCTGAAGACCTCTGCAACTCAAACCAAGCTCATCTCTAGAGTAATGCTAGGTCTTCCCTCCCTACAGAACTCAAAAATTCCCGTCTTCCAACTCACTTTCAGGGAGGTGTCTGGTCGTGGGTGGTGCTGTCCAGGAAGGAGGCCCTGGGTGTGGCGTTGAGTCAGGCTGTCCCTGAAGTTCAAGGGGGTAGGCTGGGGCCCTCAAAACCGAGGTGATGTCCTTGCGCCCCAACACTCGGCCCTCAGCTCCCTCCTCAAACAGCTCAATGCGGAAGCGGTCCTGGACATCATAATGGCTGGCAGTGGGGGCCACGTGGCGAATCACACTGGTCCCAAGATGGAAGAGAGGCTCATTGAGAGGAAGTGAGTGACAGGCAATGATGCAAGTGGATCTAGGCCCCACCCTCCCAGGAAACTTTCCCATTGGGTTACGGGCAGAGGGTTGGGAAAAAAGTTGAAGAGGACCAGGTCTGAGACCTTAGACCAGGGATTGGGAACCGTTCTTCTGCCACGGGCCATTTGGATATTTATAACATCATTAGCTTAATATAATTCACTTAATATAAATTTATGTTGCTTTGAAAAAAGCTCCTAGATTTATTGAATTTTGAGTCCCACCAGTAGTTGCCTTGGCAGGGACAGACCAAATGATTTTGCAGCCCTTATACTGCCCTCGGCTGGACACTTCCCACCCCAGCCTCAGACCATGGCTCAGTTACTCAGAGAAAGCTAGCAGCAACCTCTGGCTTCTCCACCCTCCCAACTTACATGTCAATGCAGGAATGAGGCTTCACATATCCTTCTGCGTCAAACACTGTGTACTTGTCAGGTGCTGTGCACAGGACTGGGGGATACAAGCACAGAGAGACTGACTCTTACTTCTGAGACCTTACACAAACCTGTCCCACTAAGGGACAATAGAGTCCCCCTGGCCTTCCACCCCCAGGACTAGACATGACTCTTCTAGTCCACGAAGGCTGGACATCTGACCGTGTGGACGAAGAGGGGCCACATACTAACCGGCCGAGATCAGGGAAGGCCTACTTGGCGGCCTTGCAAATTCAGAAACCTAAAGTAAGTTAGGTTTGAAGTTAAAACTTTTTAACTAAAAGCCGTTAGGGCAGGAAGTCATGTGCTAGGTTAAAATCTTCCCTGACAAAAGTCAATCTTTACCTTAACTAAGCTTGTCTATTGTCTTTTGCATCTAAGATAACATTGCTTTGGAGTATCAGGATAACTCTCCTTTTTCCAGATTCCTCAGGGCAGAACTAATGTACCAGGGCTGAGACCATAAATCCTCATTGTTATTGTTAACATGTTAAATATTCACTGTTAACTATCCTGTACCCACCTATGTAAAAGATCTATGTGTCTATCATTTTACTTTTCATCCAATCCCAGAAGTTTCCCCGATTTGCTTTCTCCCACCTCCCTAATCTATCACCAAAGGATATCATGTAACCCACTAGCGTCTTCTCTTTAAATTATAATGTATAAAATAAGATGCAAAACTGCCATTTTCTAGAGCATTATCTCAATCCGTTGATTGTTGTTTCCCAGCAACTGTCCACAGTTTGGCTCAAATAAACTCACAAAAATCCCTCTATAGGTGTGCATGTTCCTTACATTGAACCCCCCCCCCCCCAGTGTCCTGCCACCAGCCCCCAGACCCCTAGCATGAGGCGCCCATCCCTTCACCTCGGAAGCGAAGCGCGGCTCCCGTGGGGTTATAGAGGGTCAGCAGCTGCCTGGGTCCGCTCCGTTGGTCCGCCCTGAACACTAAATCAGGGGGAAAGACGAGGACCGGGACGACAGGTCCCGAGGGAGGAGGGGCGCCCCGGGACCCCCGCCCCGGCGCCCCGGGACCCACCAGCTCCTGGTCCTGGGGCGCCCCGCGGCGCATGCAGGCTCTAGGCAGTGGGACATCCGAGGGCTGAGCTCGGGGGACAGGGCCTGGAATCTAGAGCTGGGGGACGAGAGGGGCAAAAGGGAACGGACGAGATTGTGGGGCCGGCCTGGACTGAGGCGAGCGCCACCCCCGCCTCGGAACTCGACGAGATGAGGATCCCGCAGACCAGAACCAGCTTCCGAACCCTCGGCTTTTCCAGCTCTGCCCGGTCCCTCTAGGCCCCGCCTCCAAGCCCCACCTCGATGGTCACGCCCACCCGGTAAACCCGGCCCCTTGCGGCTCCCAAGCCCGGGCCCGGTCTCCAGACCTCCCGAAGCCCCGCTCCACTAGGCCCCGCCCCTTCCGGGCGTCCGGGATTCCGCCCCGGTTTGGGCCAGACGCCGCCTGCCCCGGGGTCTCCTCCGGAGCTGCTCTTTCCGCCTGCCCCGCAGAGACCTGTATCTGTGGTACCTGTGCCTCCGACCCCTCCCTGAGATCGGGCCGCGCTTCTTTGGGCTTCGCTACGATGCTCACCTTCTGGTCACAGCACCTGTCAATCAACTTGTGAGCCGACCGTGGCTGCCACCTGCCCCCGAGGCCGTTTGGGTACTTCCGCCACACGGCTTCTGTCATTGGCCAGGGCGGCTTCGTTTCCGCCATACGTACACGCCGATTGGTGCGCTTACAGAGGGGATTGACTAGGTCCCGGTGACGGGAAATTACGTCTCTGTCTAGAATTCTAGCCCTGCAGTTACTCTGGGAGACCCGGGCGGCCTTTCTTCCTGCCTCCGCACTCTGAGACCGTCAGATCGCTAGAATCCCGCAAAGCAGCCCTCGTTCTCCACTTCAATCCCAGGCTCTCCCGGAAGCCTCTGCGGCAACCACAGCCGTTTCCTGCAGTTGAAGGTTGCTCCCAGTTGGACTCAAGTCTCAGCCCTGGGTTCCGCTCCTGATTCTCTCCTTTCCGCACGGGATTCGGAAATCACATTTACATAGGAATTAAGATTTACCAACCCTGCCACATTATTATTATTATTATTGCCACATCCATTACCATTCCATATATTCACCTCTTACAAACAAGGAAAGCTCAGCAAGGTGAACAGTCTTCTCCAGGCCACCCAGTTAGCAGTGGAGCAAAAACAGTGGCTCTTATCCAAAAGCCTTCCCTGAGCACTCCATATAATGTAGAATCCCCGTCTGTCCTCTTAATCATGTTTTCCTCATAGCACGCATAGAGCTACTTGTCCTTATGTTCATTTTACCATTTATCTCTGTTCCACAAAAGCAGGGACTTTGTTTTGTTGTACCGTTGGTGCCTAGAACAGTGCCTGCCATTTGTTTTGTTTTTATTTATTGATTTGAGAGAGAGAAACATCGATTTTTGGATAGATACTTATTTATGCATTCAGTGGTTGATTCTTTTATGTGCCCTGACTGGGGGTCAAACCCGCAACCTTGGCATACTGGAGGACGTTCTAACCAACTGAGTCACCCGGCCAAGGCTAATGCCTGCCATTTGGAATGAACAAATGACTAACTAGAATGAGCTTTGAGCTGAGATCTAATTGAGAATTCCAGGTAGAGGGAATAGCACAGGCAAAGCCATTGTACTAGAAATAGTCATAGAGCCAATGTGACTGGAACAGTGACCTTCAGGAAGACAATAATTGAAGATGAGAGTAAGGGGGATGAAGGATGCAGAACATCCAGAGCCTCTGAGCCCACAGTAGGACTTTGGATTTTATTTTGAGACTGATGGAAAACTGTAGGAGAGTATTTAAATGTTCTTTTTAACAGTCTTGAGATATCTTTGACATAAAAACTGTATATATTTAAGGTCTACAACTTGATGGTTTGTATACATTGTGAAAAGATTACCACAATCAAACTTATTAATATATCCATCATCTCTAAAGACAGGGTGTCCCTAAAAATGTATACACACTTTATAAGCTGATAGCTCAGTTTTAAAAATGAAATGTATTTTAATAAACACTGCCTTTATAATTATTCAAAGTGTGTATATACATTTATGGGGAGACACACTATAGTTACCATAGTGTGTATGTTTGCTTGTGTGTGGAGAATATGGGGAGTTTTTAGCAAAGGTGTGCCAAGATCCAACTTGGTTTCTTAAAAAATTCTATAAAATAAATGTCTGTTGAGTTTATTGAATGAATGAAAAGAAATCCCCAAGATGGGCACCAAAACCATAAAAATGGATATGTGATCCCTTCCTCAGTCAAGGAATATTTATTTGGTTAAAAAATGGATCCCTAGGGCCAATGGCCAAGGCTGGCCTGGATTTCAGGCCTGGGACCTAGCAGCCCGAACAGGCTGAGAGGGGCACCTCCTCTTGCTGAGATTGGTGAGGATCTGATCCTGGCTGGGCCGGTAGAGGACCACAAAGCTATCTGGAGGAAGGATAGGACCTCTGTTCTCTTCCACCTGGCCCATCAGCAGATAACTGGCTCCTGGGAGAGGGAAGGGAGAGATTGAGAGCTCATGTTACATACCTTAAAGATGTACCTCCTCATCTGAGCCCCTTATATTCTACCACCTCTGTCATTTCCATGAAGCCAAGTACCCTTCTCCTCGACCCGACATCCCTATTACCTTTCTTCATGGGGGGACACTGCTTGCAAGGCACGTAAAACTTCAAGGAGGCATCAGTGGGTGCAGAGGGCAGGTCCAAGCCTCCAGTTTTGTAAACACCAATGAGACTGACAGTGACAGTAAGGCCCTCTCCTGGGCCCCGAACCATGGACTTCACTGTTGCCGTCACCACTGTGGGAGAGTGAGGGTGAGAGGTGAGGAGACAGGAGGCTAGGGCAAGGCTAGAGCCAAAAGGGGGAGGGTACTTTGGGGACAGGAGGGAAAGTTAGAAGATCTGGAAGAGCAGAGCATGTGAATGAAGCTTCTTACCCAGATTGCTGGTACAGAAGTTGCTCTGCAAGGTGCCTGTCCGCCGGCACTGTTTTGGGCAGGTGACACTGGGTGCATCTAGGAGGCGGAGGGGGACATTTTTTGTGGAAGGTGACCTACCTAGCAGGTGGAAAGGACTATTTTCCCCATAACAGCCTCATTGATTTGAACTTGTTCAAAGTTCTATCCAGCTTTGGGTCTCAGTACCCAGTGCCAACCATTATTAGCACAGAGGTGGCACCAGTGGGTGTTGTATGAATGAATGAATGAGCAAGCCCAGGAATGAACTCGGTCTACATCCTCTTCCTCCCCCTTCTCAGACTCACTAGGGCCCACGGGGGTTGCCTGGACCTCAGGCGTGGCTTTTGGTTTCTCCGCAGGTGGGGGTTCCGGCTTGACTTTGGGCGGGGTTCCTGGCTTGGGGCCCGGGCCAAGGAGCGGGGGACCTGGCCGGGCATCCTCTCCCGGGCTCTGAGCTGGCCCTTCTTTGGCGGCACCCCGCGGCAGGGTCCTGTAGGAGGCTGAGAATCCATCGGCAGTGACGCTAAGGTCCGAGACGAACTGGACGAGGAGCTCATTTCCTTCGGAGGAGATGGGACTGCAGGCGGCAGCAGGGCATTGTGGGAGGTGTCAAGAGGGCCTGCACCCCGCCTTTACCCAGGCGCCCACCCCCAAGTTGGCTACATTAGCCTCTCAACTTCTTAGGCCCCAATTGCTTCTGTATCCAAAGTCCACAGGACTGATGCAGGGACTAGTACCCTACTTGCTCCACCCACTGGTTTGGAGCACATGGGTTCAGATCCCGCCTCTTCAGCTAAGCCCCTCCCATCTCAACAGCAGCCGCCGGTCAGACTCCTGGGGAGGCGGAGAAACCATGACCTGCACCCACCCAGGTCCTGTCCTCTCACCCCGGGGCGGTGTCTCCGCAGAACTTCCCCAGCCTCTTGGCGTCGTCACTCACGGCTCCATTGAACACACTGACCGAGTCATAGCGGCAGTAGGTGTCCGGCTCCACGTCAAACTTCCCAAAGGTCAGCGAGATCACCTGATGGCAGGGCACAGGGCAGAGGCTGCTTGGCACCTCTCACTTCCTTTGGAGATGTTTACAGCAGCCTCCTTCACCTCCCGTGTCCCCTTGCACCCTCTTCTTACTGTATTCATATCACAGCTCAGAGGATTACATACACAGGAATCCTGAAGTGGCATCCTCCGCCATGGTGGGCAAGGTCAAGTCCAGGCTCATTCTCAAGGAATAGACCCAAAACCCACCTCCTTCACCTCCCCCACCACCTCCCCCACCTCACCATCACCACAGACACACACACACACACACACACACACACACACACACACACACACCAAGTTTATCAGCATCAGATACCTCACTGATCACAGGTATAATTTTACTTTTTTTTTTTTTTTTTTTGCACGCAAGCAGGTTGGGTCTGTTTTGCTTCCCAGCAGCGCAAGCGCAGTGCTTAGGACATAGTAGATGTTCAATAAGTCTTTGCTAGCTGCACGCTGGAGGACACTGCTCAGGTCCGGAGGGCAGCCCCCCGCTCCCTGGAAAGGGGGTCGGTACCTGGTTTGGGGGCGCGATGATGTGCCAGGAACAGCTGATACCCGGGGGGTAATCAGATTCGGGCCAGTTGGGCGTGGTCAGTGTTCCCTGGGCCTTTTCCAGTCGCCCCCCACAAAATTGGTGCTCTGGGGAGGGGAGAGAGGGGTGGGGTGGGAGTAGTGGAGACCCTCGGTCAGCTTGAGAAAAGCTCTAGGCTGGGGGCTCGTGCAGGAAGGTCGGATGTCGGGGTCTCAGGATGAGGGGCGAGAAGAGGGGAAGGAAACGGTGGGTAGGTTAGCAGAGGAAGAGCAAGGCGCAGGACCTCCGGGCACCCAGGCAGGTGGTGGAAGGGGGAGGAGGAATTGGTTGGACACGCCCCTTATCGCCCCGCCCCCTGACCCGCTGCCACACCGTTCCTCTTCCCCTGTTCGATCCCATCTCCTCTACCCGGCAGAGAAGCCCCCTTTGCAGGCTCGAGAGTCCCCACTCTGTGAGGGTCCCCTCAGATTGGGGCATAAGCCCCTTTGGGAGGCCTTAAATATTTTAGGGGAGACTTCTGCCGCCAGGAGGAGGTGATGGGACCGCAATCGGGAGCCCCGGGCTGGGTGTAGGGGGCTCTGGGTCGGAAGAACCTGGTCCCCCTTCCCAGGGGGGCCCTCTCACGCCAGTCAGAGGGAGCCCGATTGCGGACGGGGGCGGGCAGTTACTCACCGTCCCAGTAACCCCAGGCCGCCCATTCCACCCGTGGGTCGGTGACCCATTTCCGCCTCGCGCCTGGGGTGGGGCCTGGAAGAGGGGGGTGGCGGGAGCGGGAGAGGGGAGAGAAGATGGGGAGGAGGGACTGGAGGGGCAGTTAGTGAGGAAAAAGGGGAAGGGAGGCAATGGGGACCTAGGATCTTGGGGTGAAGGTTAAGGCTGAGGGCGGGGCCTTACCAGGGTGGGACCAGGAGAAGGGGAAGGAGAAGGTGAGGGACGTCTCACCAGTGCTCGAGGTGGCCCGCCCGCTGTACCAGAGCAGGAAGCCTCGTCCTCCTGTACCCTCATCCGCTGTCATCTTCAGGGTCACTTGGTTGCCCGGGGCCACTATGGGTGCTGGCCGGAAGGTCCCACAGAAGCGTCCGAGCCGCTGGCCCGAGGTTCCAGACCCAGCAAAGACCTCCAGAGCATCATAACGGCAGGCAGGGTGTAGCTCCAGGTCAAAAACTCGGAAGGAGAGGGACACAGTCTGGCCTTCAGGGACCTACAAAGTCAGGTCATACACAACCCAGGCAGAGGGTACTTCCCTTTCCCCAAGCATTTCCTAGAGAAACTTGGGCCTGAACATGAAGGAACCCCAACAGGGTGCAGAGCAGAGGGCTTGTGGCTTATGTAGGGGACAAGTCTTGAGGTCTATGGAGAGATTTACAGGGGCGGGAATGGAGTTAGGAATGGAGCAGCAGGCTTTGAATTAAGGGTTGAGTGAGGACACTTGCCACGTATTATTGTGGAAACTGATGGATCAGTGACCAGAGGGGAGGGGTCTTGGACTTCCCCAGGGAGTAATAGTGCTGGGGGAGGGCCTTTGACTGCCTGGACCCAAGCCTTGGAGACTTTGACAAGGGGTAGTGACCAGAGGGGCCTTCTCACCGTTATTGTCCAGATGCACTCCTTATTGGGGGGGTAGAGGTTGGGAAAACTTTCACTTGCCACGTAACCAGATTCCCCAGTCACATCCCCTCCACACAGGAACACAGGTCTGGAGAACAGAAGAGGGGTCAGCCATGGGTGGGGGAGTAGTGGACAGACTGGGATGGGGTAATGAGGATAGGAAAGCCTGAAGAGGAGGGAGAAAGGCCTACGGGATCTGGGATGGCCTCAGGCAGCCAAGATGAAATTGAGGTGGGAAATACTATAGTAGAGGATCAGGAAAAAGTAGGGCCAGCAACTTAGCTATGCCTCCAACTCCCAGTCCCCACCCCCAACACAACAGGAATTTCCGGAATCCTCCTCAGCCCCCCTTCTTACTCTCCCCACTTTGCACTGCCAGGCAGTCCACAGCAGCTGCCTAAGTACTTCCAGATGTAGACACAGCCACGCCACGAGGCTGTGCGGGGGAGGGGGTGGGGAGTTGAGTGAGAAGCAGCAGCGATGGCCCTCAAATTGAACCTGGAGACCAGGCTCCCTAACTTCTCAACCTTTTCTTTGCTTCTGTTGCAGCTAAACTACTTGAGTATCTGACCTCAAGTCTCCCACTTGCTGCCCCGCTTTCCCCCATAATATCTAATTGCCTTCCTGGAATCCAGATGTCCAGATATCAAGCAAGTTCAAGGTCTTGGCTTTCTCAGGTCCCATGGAGTGAATGGGGAGACTTAGAAGAGGACAGAGGTTGAGGAAACGGGGAGCAGTGGTGACCTACAGGAGACAGTGGTCTTGTAGCAGGGAGGACAGACTTGGGGACCAGAGAAGAGTAGAAACTGGGAGATCTTGGGGGTGATGTGTTAGAAAAAGAATCCACAAGATCCACAGGCATAACCCTTCAGGAATTGGCTTTTGAAGCCCACTTAAGCTAACTAGAAGGTGCCAAGAGACCTACCTGGTATAGTTGGGGGTCTGGCCCTGGGCAAAAGGCAGCAGGGTCCAGGCAGGGAGGAGGAGCCCCAAGAGGGAGGCTGTGACAGCAGGCTGCATGGCTGAGGGGAGAGGTGCTGGGGTCCCCAAGACAGAGGCAGCAGCCGAGTTTAGCAGCAGAAGCAGCGGCAGCGGCGGCGGCAGCGGCAGCAGCAGGGATAATTGGTGCCAGATGAGGCAGCCTCGGATGTGTGGGCGTGGGGACTGGCCAGTGGGGAGGGCGGTGGGGAAGGCGGGACAGGGAGAGAGGAACCCGGACAGTGGTGAGTCCAGGGGCCTCTTTAGGTACAGGACACATAAATATTGACCTAAGTAATGGGAGGAGCAATGAAGGGCTGAGGGAGCATCAGGACCTCAGCCATAACCTAGGCATCAAGTAATGTCATCTGGAAGCCCATTCTGTCCAGTGCCCAAGCATCTTGTGAACAGAGCCCTGATCCTTCCCCAGGACGCTCCAGCCCACTCATGATCCTCTCCATTGCTGCTTCCTTAGCACCCAGAGAAAGCCCTTTCCTGGACTCCCAACCTTTAAGCATTCACCCCCTTCCTGACCTGCTCCAACTTACTTTCTGCTTCAAATTTCCACTATCTTCTATCCCCAAGCTAGACTAGGCCAAGAAGAAAAGAATTCTGCTTACCCATTTTCTCCCAAATTATCTGGAGGTACAGGAATGGGGCAGGGAGGTATGGCATGTGGATAAAGGGAGTGTCTCCCTTCTGCAGGAAGAGGAGGACAGAGTAAAAAGTAGGGGAAAAGGACATATAAGATCAGATCTGGAGGTAAACAGAAAGCAGAGAGGAGGGAGGTTGACTTCACAGGGATGAAGGAAAAGGGATAGAAAACTGTCACAAGTCAGAAATGACTTCTTCAGAATGGGAATATGAGGATCCAGTGGGGGGCACCAAATAGTATATGACCACTGGTGGTCTTGAGGTCCGAAAGGTTGGCGACCGCTGGCATATGTTGTTCCAGAAGGCAGGGCTAGGATTTCCTGTCAAGAAGACTGGGTCAGGTCTTGGGCGTGGAAGGGGAAAGCAAGCTGAAGGTGCTTGAGCAGCTGCTGCTCTGCCTGACCCTGTCTATGCTCCTGCCCTCCCTTACCCACTGAGCTAGGCATCGGGTCCCCCATTCCGTGCCCCATTGTCCTCCCAGGCTCCAGGGTCCCAAACTAGGCCTCACGTCAGCCTTTTATTCTATTTGTCCATCAAATCTCTTGTCCATGATAGTAAGATTGGAGGCCCCTCCTGGGCAGCCCCCAAACATTTTACAAAACAGTTCCCTCCCCACCCTGGCATGTCCAGCAGTCCCCACCCCACTGTATCCCCCTTCCCATGGCACAGTGTTCATTGCTACCACTCCATCTCTCCTTAGCCTTTGGCCCAGAGCCAGACTCTCCCTCCAGGGGTAAGACTAGGAGAGGGGGGTCAGCTCTCAGGTGTTGGGGGGCCTTGTCCAACCCCTCCAGCAGCCTTCTGTAGCATGTCCAGAGCCTCCCAAAAGAAATCCTTCTGTGCAGCCAGCAAAGGCATCCAGCCCACGATCTCCTTCATCTTTTCCATGCGGTCCTGCAACGTGGAGCAACTGTAGATCTGGCTGAGGTACTCCTTACAGGCCCAAGCTGTCCCCCCAGGGTCCTGGAGTACTCCGGACCCTGCATTGGGTTCAGGGGTCCCCACCACCTTGCTGGCTGGTAGATCTCGGTAGGCGGGATGCTGCTCAATGTCATGGCTGGACAGCATGTAGAGACACTCTCTGGTAGAGCAGAGGGAGCAGGCACACAAAGGGACCTTGGGGGAGAGAAGGGGCATGGCTGAGTGGGGCCTTTACTGAGGGGTTCCCACAAAGCCCAGATGTTGTGTCCCTCCCCCTCAGACCAGCCCTGAGCCAGCAAATGAGCTGGCTGGCTGAACCCCAAGGTTGTGTGAGGTCAGAGAGTACCAGCAGGATCTGCTAAGGGAGAGAGAGCCAGGAGCCGTGGTGCCCAGCAGAAAAGGGAGGTGGGTGGTATTGGGGAAACGGGGCCCTTGGGGCCCCACAGTAGCCACAGCCAGAATCCTGTGGGCTACCTGCCCTCCCTGGTTGCCCATTCGCCTGACCCTGCTCTGACCTTGACATGGAGTTTGACGAAGGAGGCGCTCCCCTTAGGCCAGCCAGGGAGGCGGCCTCCAGCCCCACAGCCACAGCCCAGCAGCTCCTTGCTGAAGTCCAAGCCCTGGCTCAGCACCAGGGAGTGGTTGAGGCCACACCACAGGGCAATGGGGTGTTGCAGATAATACACCTGAGGATACAGGGCCAGGATCCCTAAGGGGGATACACCAAGGGACTGGGGGCCCAGGTCAGAGAAGGCTCAGGGCAGAATCTAGGGACATGAGGAGAGGGAAGAAATGGGACCCAGCACACCTTCCCCAGGTCTTCCTGCTGAATGAAGACCAGCAGCAATCTCTCCCTCCTTGGTTCTCGTGAAGCCCCAGTCTGACCAATGGGCTCTAGCACTTCTGCTGGTTCCTCATCTTTGCTTCCCAGAAAATAGGTTATTTGCCTGAGGCCAGGGCCTGCTGTCTATTCTCTCATTCTGACACCACATACCTCAGCCAGTCCAACCTCTCATCCAGCTTTCCAGCCTCAGGGTGAGGAATATCTTCCCAAGGCTTAAAGACCCAACCTCTCCTTTGCAATTCTAGGTTAGCCCTCAGAAAGGAATTTCCTTCCTTGTAGTCCTACCTTCTCTCTCTAATATTTTCAGTTTTTCATATTATCTTTTCAAACGGCTATTTTAAAATATTTTCTCCTGATTTCTGCTGCTTCCTATCTCTGTTTTTTAGGCAGAAGAACTGGTTACATGACCAGTCTGAGGTTGACCACATTCTTGTTCTCACTACAGCCAGTCTTTCCTGAACCTTTTTGTGATCTGGCTTTTCTCCCTACTATGCTACTGACATGTTTTCCAAATGCACTTGACCTGCTGGCTGCCAAATCCCAGGGCCTCTCCTGCATGTTTTCTCTTGACAATGTGAGCGTTTTTATTTTGAAGGCATGGATAAGTAATTTATGGTCATTATAGAAACACTACAAGATACTGGCAAGCAAAAATTAATTTAAAGATCACTGGAAATCCCACCACCCACTATTAATTTCTTGCTGGATCTTCTTCACTGCTCCCTATACAAATGTATGCAGTTGACCCTTGAACCACACAGGTTTAAACTGCACAGGTCCACTTTGACCCAGATTTAAAGTGCAGGCCACTTATGCATAGGCCTGTACAAATCAAATCTGTATTGTGTGAGGGTCTACTATATTTTTTAAAACAGTTTTAAAATATTTTTTAAAATTTATTTCAGAGAGGAAGGGAGAGGGATAGAGTGATAGAAACATCAATGATGAGAATCATTAATCGACTGCCTCCTGCAGGCCCCACCACTGGGGCATGTGTAGACTGGGAATCTAACTGTGATCTCCTGATTCACAGGTCCATGCTTAACCACTGGGTAACACCGTCCAGGGTCTACTGCATTTTTAATTGGGAATCTAAATATGTGAAGGGCCAACAAGTTACATGAGGATTTTTGACTGCATGGTGGGTGGTATCTCTAACCCCTGTGTTGTTCAAAGGTCAACTGTACGTGTAAATTATCTTTTTAAACAAAAATGGGATCTTACTATGTAAACCATTTCACACATTTTTTTTTTTACTTAAAAATATGGCATGACCATCTTTCCATGTCAGTAAAGTATATTCCTACATCGTCACTGTCACCATTAATCACTTCATCCTGTTCGAAACTTCCTGTGCCCATGGCTTCTGGAACAGGGCATGCCTCCTGTGTCAGTGACAACTTTTTCATTCCCTCTGCCTATAATGGTGGCTCCTACCCAGGTTTACTCCTCTATCATTACTTTTGTCATTTCAACTTTTTTTCCAATTTGGAACCAAATTGCCAGTGAGATATTTCCACTTTACTGTCCTACTCTCACTGCAAGAAAGTCCAAATTTGTGTTCTTTATTCAAAGCAGCATCCCCTTCCAATTCACATGTTTGTTGCTGATACCATTTTTCTTCAAGGGAACTATTGCCGGAGCCACCTTTGTCCTACACTCTTTTGTTCACATCTAATTAGTTCCCAGAGCCTGTTCATTTTTTAAAAAAATATCTCATATATCTCAATATCTCCTTTCTATTCTCAGTGTACCAGCCCCAGGCCCTTGTCTTAAATGCTCCTGTCACTCAACAGCCTCCCAGTGGGCCTCTCACTCAGTCTCCTGTGCACTCTGGCCAGGTGACCTGTTCTCAGTCATCCGTGTGGTTGCTCTGGAACCCGAAATGACTCTTTCCCATATCCATACCTCTCCAAGCTCACACCCACTTATACACCACCTCATATCCAACTATTTACAAAATACCCTCCCTCCTTCAGTCAGGCCAGCCTTTTCACTGTCCGTTATGTGTAAGCTTTGTCCTCATCCCTATTACACAGGCACCTCTCCCTAGTCCCACCTGAATCCTTTCTAACCCACTAGGCCCTGCTCACATCTCACCTTTTCTTGTTACTCCAGCCCACCCAGGTCTCCCTGCTTCACTAAATTCCTCCTACACTTACAGCATGCACTGCACAGAACAAACTTCATTGTGTCAACCCTGGATAAGACATGCAAAATATGATGGGCATTACACACTGGTTGGCTTAACCTCCTAGGGCATAGAAAGTGGATTCTATGGAAATTAGAGAAGTGGAGAGATCCAGAGAGGTCAGGGAATTGAAAGAAGGGGGTCAGGATTAGAACTGCTGGGAAACAGTCTCACCTGTGTGGGTTCCCCTCGGTCCATTTTGTCCCCTGTTCCCAGCTGCCCATATCTGTTATTTCCCTGCATAAAGATTCGGCCAAATTCATCCACCAAGCCAAGGTGATTGTAGCCAAGAGCACAGAATAGGATCTAGGGGGTAAGACAGAAAGGGGAGGTGGGCATTCAGTTCCCTCCAGAGGAACTCTGAACTCCAAAACCTCCCAGCCACTAACCTGGCTCTCTTTTGGTCATGCCCTCTATGTCACCCATCTCTCTGGGTCCCCTGTCCCTCCCTGATCAATCATTTGATTCCTGCTCATATTTCAGACCTTCAGAACCTTTCAACCCCTCAAGTCCCTCCTGTAATGATCTGCCCCATCCCTCCAGGATCCTACCTTGGCAGGTAGTGAGAGAGCAAGTGGCATCTGCTGGTCCAGGGGGTCAAAGGCTTGAAGGGTCCCAAAGAGATCACGATACACCCCTGGGGTATGCACCTCAAAATACACTCCCCCCTCATCTGGGGGGTCGGGTGCCCTCAGCTCAGCAGCTTTGGGCACCCATTTCCTAGGGATAAGGCCCCACCTGGGGTGAAAACTACAAGATCTGGGGAGTCTCACACCCACTAGAATTCACCAGCTATGATGTCTGGAAATCTAAACAACATCTTTTTACTAGGATGCCCTAGGGGTCCACCACAGGAGCTGGAATAATGATTGCGGGTATCTGGAAGATCTGTCCAAGGCTAGGTCCTAGAGCAAAAGGGAGGTGGTTCTTTACCCGTAATGTACAGAGTACTGCTCTGGTTGGAAGCCATGCAGGCCACACGCAGGTGAGGCAGGCAACGGGACACCTTCCTCAGGGCCAGCTGAACTGTGTAGGAGCGTGGCTGGTCTAGCTGGGTTTCATTCACTACCAAAGAGTAGATCTTTCCTTCCTCTGGAGATTGGAGGAAGCAGACAATTATGTGGGAGAAGGAACCCTCCAATATCCATATTAACTTCCCAATAGACCCCCTAAGCCAGCGGTTCTCAACCTGTGGGGCACGACCCCTTTGGGGGTCGAACGACCCTTTCACAGAGGTCGCCTAAATACATCCTGCATATCAGATATTTATATTACGATTCATAACAGTAGCAAAATTACAGTTATGAAGTAGCAACGAAAATAATTTTATGGTTGGGGGTCACCACAACATGAGGAACTGTATTAAAGGGTCACCGCATTAGGAAGGTTGAGAACCACTGCCCTAAGCCATACAGGATGAAACATTACTATCTTAGAGTGGGGTTTAAGAAAAAGGGTAGAGATGAAATAAGGAAAGAGTGGTCTCATGTTTCCCAGATTCCAGCCTCTTACACCAAAAATAAATCAGGGAAGTCCTTTTCAGTGTGAGAAATGAATGGAGAGAAAACCTAGTAGATTTGGCAGAATACAGTCTGAATGCTGGGAATGATGTCTGGGGATTTAGGGCCTTACACAGCATTAAGAAGTCTGGAGTGTGGTTAGGTATAGGGAGGCAGTATAGGGTATAAAGTGAGGTGCCTGGTATGGAGGTTGGGGAGATTAGAATTTAAAGCAGGGCCCTTTGCATATATGAAATATGCAAAATCACATCCCTTCGATAGCTCAGCTGGTAGAGCGGAGGACTGTAGTTGAAATATGCAAAATCTTAGAGTAGGAGACAGACAAAAGCAGAGCTATTTGGTTTGAGATGGCATTCAGAACCCTGTGTGAGAGGCCTCCCTTCCCATCCCCTGCAGCAGGTCTTGAAGAATCTTCAGAAAACAATTTGTAAACTACTGCTCAAAGCCACACCTGTGAGGAGCAGTAGAGCCCGCTGAGTCTCCTGACCAACCAGCACAATCTGTTTGAAGCTCATGGAGTGGTGGAAAGTCATTTTGAAGACCCGCTGCCCACTAGACTGCAGATAGACCTCAACACAGTCGCAGGCCCGGCTGCTGGTTGTGCCTACCACTTCCAGCTGCTCCCGAGTGGCCAACACATAGAGGTATTTACGGTAAACTGTGTCACATCTTGGGTCGGAGGCAAACTGTAGGAAAAGACAAAGGTGTCTGGGATCTAGAGCTTGAAGTGGAATGAGGCTGGGGTAGGAGATGAGATACTTGGGTACGGAGCTAGGAAATGGGGACTTGTTTTCCAGTCCCTGGTATGGGAAGGCAGCTGTCCTGAGGAGGACACCTCAGTTCTGATGTGGGCCCTGGGTCCCTGGAGGTTGGGTGGGTTCTTAGCTGCCAAAGTTCTGCTACTCACGTCCTTGGCTCCTCGACACAAAACAACATAGCGGCAGGCTCGCTTCCACTGGATCTGGCCAAGAGTGGAGGAGACCAGGGCATTTTTGAGGAAGAAGAGGGTCCCCGCATAGTCAAGAATGAAGATGTGATCCTTGGTGGGCAAGAAACGGCGGTAGCCATGGGCTAGCAGAGGGGCTACACTCTTGCTGAGACAGCGGCGGCGGCCCCCAAATGCCTGGAAATACAGGCCTTTCGTGTCTAGAGAAGGGAAGGATATGGAAGGTTCAAGGGGTTGGGATGACACCAGGGAGATGAATCAGAGCTTGGGCAAACAAGGTTTCTCAGATATCCTGCTATTTAGCTCCTCTCCATCCCCAGGACTGGGAAACGAACCCCTTCCAGAGGACACATGCAGAGCTTAGAGGATATCCTTAATTATACCCAATGACTGAAGGTTAGTTTTCTGGCCCACCTCAGCCCAGGGCCATAAACATGCTTCTAAATGAGCACTTCTTTGATCCAAACTTGCATAGCATTAAGAAGATTTACTTTGAAAGCTTAGGATATTTCCCAGAGTCTAAGACTTAGTCTTGGTGTGGGAGGAGGATATTTATGCGAAACAGGAGACATCAAGGGACATATAATAAATACGCAGAAAAGAACCAGAGGAGTGAGGAAGAAAGAGTGAAAAAGAATGACTCAGAAAGACCAGTAACTCTCCCTCACCCCTAGCTCTCCATCTGCTACCCAGATCTCTCTTAATCTCTACTATGTGAGATGAAGCGGACAGGGACTCCCTGGAAAGGAAGGGGGGTTTAGAGCATGTTTCTCAGTCTGAGGGAGAATTTATCCCTCAGGGGACATTGGTTGTCACAACTGAGGGAGGTGCTACTGGCATCTAGTGGGTAGAGCCCACGGGCACTGTTCAACATTCTTTAATGCACAGGATAGTTCCCCACATCAAAGCATTATTTGGGCCCTGGCCAGTGTTGCTCAGTTGGTTGAGTGTCATCCCATGCACTCAGTCACGGTTGGATTCCGGGTCAGAGCACATGCCCAGATTGCAGGCTCAATCCACAGTGGGGGTGTGCAGGAGGTAGCCATCAATATTTCTCTCTCATCAATGTTTTTCTCTCTCCCTCTCCCATCCTCTCTTTCTAAAAAATCAATAAAAACATATTTCTTTAAAAAAATTATTTGGTCCAACACCTCAGTAGTGACAAGGCTGAGAAACCCTGGTTTACAGGAGGGGAAGCTTGCAGTTTGGGGAGTAGAAGATGTCTCTGGGGTAAGATTTGGAAGAGTTTGAATATGGAAGGAGACATGGTAGGGATACTAGTAATGGGGGCTCTGGGTGGGACATCTATCAGAAGGTGGTTCTAGAGACTTGAAGTACTCAATGGCATGTTTGAATCTAACATCTGCTTCCACAGAAAGGGGCCCTGGAAGGTTGGCTGGGAATGCTGAGGTCATCAGGAAACTCTCTGGAGCAGGAGAAATCCCAGAATAAGGTAGGTCAGAGGCAAAGGGAAGTACAGGTTCTGGGGAAGGTGTACAGTTAAGAATGGCAGCTCTCTTCCAGGGACGGACTCCAGAACCCTGCTCTCGTAGGCGAGGACTGAGCTTGCGACAGATGCGTCTCCACACGCCCTCAGCATCGCACACTTCATGGAAGTAGTGGCAGGTCTGGCCGAGGGCAACTACATCTCTGACTGGGAGAAATGAGATGATATGTTCCACCTGAGGGGCGGAGGGAGAAAGCAGGGGTCATTGGGGGCCCCTCCCAGTCCTTTATTCTTAATACTTGCCCCTCCTCAAGGACTCACCAGCTCTGGGGGGAACAACTGAACAGAAATAGGGTTCCCTCTTCCTTTCTTCTCTTCACCCCCAAGCTCTGGGCCACATGAAGGGCAGCTCCGCTTCACCTACCCAAGAAAAAAGGGGAGCAGAGGGGTTCCATGAGGATCATGCCTTTTTATTCCCTTCTCTCAGCCTGTCTTTCATTAGCTACTATTTTGGGGGTTCATAGCTCCATCTTCCAGCTCTGTGCTGTCAAATCCTCCCATCTTTCTCTCTAGATCCATGGCTCACTCCTCCCTGTCCTTGTTCCTTATTCCAATTTCTCCAAGTAACCCCTCCCCAAATCTCTTGCTGACCTCTTCTTGCCCTTCTCTTGACACTGCCCCCACCCAAGCCTCTCCTCTTATCCTCACAGCCCGGTGAATTTTTGCAGCTTCTGTCTCTGGCTTCTCCTCACCATCTTGACTGCCCTCTCCCTGCTCCTGTCCTCATGTCTCCAGGCCCCTTGGCACTCGTCTTGGGCCCTGTCCCTGCTGCCTTTCCCACACCATGTCCCCTGCCTGGGCTTGGGGGACCTCTAGGGCCCCTCTGCTTCCTAGGCCCCTCCCCCATGGAGTCCTGGGCAAACAAACCTCTCTGTGACCTCACTGCCTGGCCACTGTGACCTGTTTTCCCCAAGCTTGGCAGGGATTTTCTGTCTTAGCTCCTCAGTTCTAGCTCAGCTCTAGCAACCCAATGGCTCATGGGATATGCATTTTACAGGAGAAACACAGTGTGAACTCCTGGTAGATGATGCCTTTACTTTCAGGGAGTAGTAGGAGCTTTTTTCCACTTGAGGCCCTTTAAGCACTAACTACTATAGAGAAACACTGGTGAATTCTTCATATCTCTGCAGGCCAGGGCCTCCAGAGGATTTGTAGCTCAAAAGTATAACCCCGCCTCCCCCCAAAAAAGTATAGACTCCTTTGCCAGGTGAGGGGGAGGGTGACCCTGCTAATGACCATCTTTCTCACAAAAGCATGCACCAGATGAAAGTCAGTGCAATTCAACACAGACTTTAAAGTCTCATGCAAAATACAGATCCAAAAGCAGACTGCTTTCCTGGGTCAGTAACATGACTGTATGTATGAAAGGCGGCCTATTACAGCGGAAGAAAGGGTTAGATTTACTCTGAAAGCTTAGGATATTTCCCAGAGTCTTAAGACTTAGTCTTGGGGTGGGGAGTGATATTTATGAGAAACAGGAATGGGGGTTGTGTCTGCACAGGTGGGACAGACCTGCACCAATAAATCCAAGCAGTCGCTGGCTCTCCCAGGGGCTCACGGGAATCCAGTCCTGGCCGGCCAGCCCTGAGCCGCTCAGGATTACAGACTTGGTTTACTGGGCGAACAGCCTGTCACCCACCCAATCAAGCTCCCTTACTCACGGTGACCTAGGAAACAGCTGGTCTGGATTACCTAAGATGAAATTTTTTTTTTTTTTTAATATATGTATTTTATTGATTTTTTTACAGAGAGGAAGGGAGAAGGATAGTTAGAAACATCCATCAGCTGTCTCCTGCACACCCCCTTCTGGGGATGTGCCCACAACCAAGGTACATGCCCTTAACCAGAATCGAACCTGACCCTTCAGTCCGCAGGCCGACGCTCTATCCACTGAGCCAAGCCGGCTAGGCCTAAGATGAAATTTTAATAATTCAATCGTTTAGGAATGTCAGCGTCTGAGAAGTGACTTGTGAGTGGTTAGGCAACTATTAACATCCTAAGATGGACTCCTTCGGCCCCCAAGGCATCTAAAAGGAAGTTCGGTCTCTCGGCAGACAGCAGCACAGTCAGCTTGCTCTCATTTCCGGATCCCCTTTATTCACTCCACTTCACCCCAGGTGGCAAGGAGGGCGAGGACAGAAAAAGCCCACCGTCAAAGCTGACGCGGTGGGGAGCCTGGGGCTCTGGTGCCAGCTGTCAGCACGTTGCTGTTTGCTCCTGCCAGCTCGTCCACTTCCCTCCGCCTCAGTTTCCACATTTGTAAAATGGAGGACTTCGGGATGAGAGACGGCCCCTTCTAGCCTAACCCCCCGGTCCTGTCATCACAATTCCTGCCCCGGCGCGCTCCTCTGGCTGGGCGGGCAGGCCGGGCGGCAGCCCTCGAGGCTTTCCCGGCTCCTGGAACCCTCTCTCCAGGGGCTGAGCTGGGCATCTTCAGGCTCTGGGAAGCCGCCCCCCCCGCCCCCCCCCCCCCCCCGGGCTCCACACAGACCGTCGCAGGGCCTCAGCCGCCCCAGCCGGAATGGCCTTCACAGTCGTTCAGGCCGCGACGACCCTCTGCGAACGGGGCGCCCGACACTCTCCCGTCTACCTCACGGCCTCAGAGCGGCTCGCTCCGTAGCACCTACAGCTCGCACGCACTACTCCTGCCCCTGAAATGCTCCCCGTCCAACCCGCGCGCAGCGCTCACATTTTTTTACCTCAGTTCTAAAGTTCTAGCTCACCCGCCTCCTTAACGAAGGGACCGCCTTCTCGCCCATGCTACTGGTAGGTAGAGCCGTCCCTCAGAGAAGAGGCGGGACCAAGGTCCCTCCAGAGAATCTAATTGGCCTTCTCGACAGTCACTCGCCTGTATCTGGCTTACGATTGGTCTTCATTAGAAGAGGACTGGGGCTGGCGGTCTCTCGGCCCCTATCCCTTTTAGTTGAGCGCCGGCGTCCCCGCCTCCTAGTTGAATCTGATTGGCTCTATCTCCAGCCTAAGCAGTGTGATTGGATGCAGCTGCACGGGGTGAGCCCGGCTGAAGCGTCAGCCGTTGGCGAGAGTTCCATTCGAGTCCTCCTCCCTTCGCTCACCTCACTCCAGCGCCGGAGTCTCCACCCCCCCGGCGGGTTCTGATTAGCCACTTCCGATGCTCGGGACCGCGATTGGTCCACCGGATCTCTGGTCCCACTTCCTCCCCCTTGAAGTAACTACGGCGGCTTCAAGGAGGGGAGGGGGGGGAAGGGACGGCCGGTCCCGTCAGTCAGGCAACGGTAGCCGCCCGGAGCGGATGGCGGCGGCGATCGCGGCCTCATTTGCCGCCGGGGGTGAGGAGGCGGCGGCCACGACCTCCGTTCCAGGATCTCTGGGTCTGCCGGGGAGCCGCAGTGCAGAGCGGGCCCTCGAGGAGGCCGTGGCTACCGGGACCCTGAACCTGTCCAACCGGCGCTTGAAGCACTTCCCCCGGGGTGCGGCCCGCAGCTACGACCTGTCAGACATCACCCAGGCTGGTGAGTGCACCCGGCCGGGACCCTCATTTGCATTGCCCCGCCCCCCTGCTCGCTGCTCCGGGGCGAGGAGGCTGGCACTCCCCTCGGCCGTCCGCGTTCTCGACCCGCCGATGGGCATGAATCTGCGATCGCCCCCTCCCCGCCTTAAGAAACACCAGGCGATGCGCGCGTTTCTCGTTTTCTTGGAAAGCCCAGCGTTCCTGGCCGAATGTTGTGATCCCCTTTCCACCCCACCCCCTCCGCTTCTCTTTATTTGCATATTGGCGCACCTGTAGAATGGTCCCTCCTCTTACCTGGTTGGCTTATTGGCCTGCTTTTTTTTTCTTCAACTTCAGTTCTGATCATTCCATAAAGGAGCCCCCATGAACCCCTCTAGTGACTCCTTTCTCTTCCTCCACATCGTCTGCAACTCCGTCCCCGTTCCACCGAGATCCGAGCAGACTTAGGACCTCCTTCCCATGGATTTGTCCCTAACGACGCAATGTTTCTGCTTGCTTTGCTCGCAGTCCCGCCCTCTAAGGTCCCAGGCCCTCTCCACTCTTCACCCAGCCCGCCTGGGGGAAAGAAGCAAATCTTTCATCTCCCCTCTGCTCCCCAATTCTTCCTCCTTATTCCTGACCCCCTTATCTGAGTCCTTTTCCTTCCTGCGTGTGTGAGGTCACTATGGAGCCCGTGACCTCACAGGGACTCTAGAATCCCCATTTCTGTTTCTGCTTTCCCCAGGGGGAGAGACTTGAGGCAATTGCTAAAAGGAAGGACAATCTTATCTCCTTGCTAGGAGTGCTGGAAACCTAGAGACTGTCTGACTATCCTTCCACTCCCCATCGCAGGATCCCTCTAATCATGCTTCCTCCACCCTGGTGTCTGTTGATGGTGGGGTTTGGGGGACTCCACTGTGACAGGTGAGTCAGGCCTCAGCTGCTCTGGAGACAACCTCGGGCTGGCAGCTGTGTGTGTGTGTGTGTGTGTGTGTGTGTGTGTGTGTGTGTGTGTTGGAACGAGGGAGGAGGACTGCATTCCCGAAGCCACACCCCAGCCTAGCCCAGGGTGGGACTTGGGACTGGATGAGAGTGTCCTCCTGTTGACACTGCCCCTGGACTGCATTTCTCCTCTAGCAGGTGCCTGCTCACCTGCAAGCACTCAAGTGGGCACGGACATACTCTCTTTCCCACTGTCCCGGGGAGAACCAGTTTAGACCTTTCCACCTTTCTTGGGTTGCTGGGTACACTAACTTGCCCACTTTGCAGGGAGTGAGTTCAGGGAATGGGTGAGCCCCAGGAGCCGTCCTCTCTGTCTCCCCGAGTCTCCTAACCCCCAAGCTCCAGATTGACCTCAGCAGCTGTGCGACAATGTCTGTTCTCTTTCCCCTCCCCCTTGCTTATTTTTTGACAAAGACCAAATGTTATTCTTTACTTCCTTAGGGCTCTGTCTCAGTGAATGGACTCCTGGGGAAAACTACCAAGAACTCCCTGATCCTCCTAGCTCTCCCCCCTCCCAGTCTCCTCCCCCGGCATTCTGGCTCAGGGTGCAGCCAGTTCCCTTGTGAGTGAGCTTGTGTGGTGAAGCGGGGAAATCTCAGCTTCCTGAGAACCCCTCTCTGCCTGCTCTCCAGGCAGGAATTCTCAGAACTTTCAGGGCCCAGATTCTAGGCCAGGTGGGGTCTATCTTGTTCAGAACTCTCTTTTCTGTCCCCTCTTCTCAAGCAGGGTGCCTGTAGCTTGGGGTGGAAAGGGGAAGTGACAAAAACATAGTATTGCCCATACCCTGCCCTCCACACCTCCTTGTCCTCCAACCCAGGCTAAAAGCTTCACCACTCATGCTGGAGTAAGTTTGAACTTCTCCTGCTTTCCCAGCTCTTTCTGAAACAGTATTTTCCATGCATGTTACCTATGGCATAGGCCCCTGATATCCCCTGGACTTCATTCCTGGTGCCTGATAGCAGGATGACTCCTGAGATGGGAGGAGGGGCCACTTTCACAAAGGAGAAGTGCAGCTCATTCTCTCAAAGACCACATCCTGTGCCTTCTGTGCCCTCCCTCCTCCTGCCTGGGCTCCCTTCCGTTCCTAGCGTTTGGCCCTGCCACCTGCCTGCCCCATCATCAATTGTTCTCTCCCTTCATCCATATGTGTGTGTGCGCACACATTTGGTGGATGCAGAGAAAGCAGGCATGTGGAGGGTGAGAGTGGGAGGACAGCATTTGGTCCTCCCACCCTATCTGGAACTGTCTTTTCCTGTGACAGGTCTGTGTGCACCGAGGTTGGGAGCAGAGAGGGAGAGAGCAGGATTCCTGGGGCATTAGGCTGTCGTCCGCTCAGGCAAACACAAGGCCCACCAGAGACAGAACCGGACAGATTCATTTCCTGTCACAAGACCCATTTCCCTGGGGGCTATATCCCAGATTCTCCTCCCCTCAGCTTTTGCTTACTCTTCCCTGGGGAAGGCCATTTAAGAAGTTCACCCAAGTACTGCTACTCAGGACTTCCCCCAGCAGGCCCTGGGCCCCTCCCAGTACAGGCCAGCAGAAGAAACATAAACCCAGGCATAGAGGTTTAAGCAGTGAGTGTCTCCATATTGATGGGAACCCAAAATGCCTATTCCTTGCATTGCACTGGCAGGCCACCACTTGAGTTAAAGTGGCAGTAAAAGACTCTGCCCTCCTTCCCATCCTCTCCACTAGTCGCTGCGTTCAAGACACAGGCAAAGGGGTGCTTGCTTGAAGTCTGGGCAATAAGAGAGGAAGCAGAAGAAGGCTGGCAGGGCTATCAGAGGGTGGGAATGAGTGAGCCCCGAAGAACGTGCGTCTGGGTGGGAGGGACCAGAGGACTCCAGCTCCCACCGCCAGCTTGGCTGATTACCCTTCCTGGTCCTCGGGAGTCTGTGGCTTCATAGATCCTTGGACCTGGTTTGCTGCTCCCAGGGGCTGGTGAGAAACCGTTGTCCAGAGTTGGGAGCCTTCATTCTAGAGCCAGGCTGTAATGACCCTTGGTTTTTCCCCGGACTGAACACAGGTTGAGGTTGGGAGTTAGGACCCCTGATGAAGGATGGGCTTTCTCAGTGGTCTCTCCCAGAGATTGTCCATATTCTTATCTTAGCCTCCCAGTTCATCACACTGCTATTTTCTTTCGAGTACTAGCACTCTGCTATGCTATGATCTTTGCCTTCCACCTCTCCTGGCATCACAGAGCAACAGGAAACCACAAGAGTTATAGAATCCAGCCACCACTCCAGTATAACCCTTCATTGTTTGTTTGAAAACAGCATCCATGGCTTGTCCCCACACCCCTAGTCTGAGTTTCTCCAGTCCAGTGACCCTAAGGCCTTTGCCTTCCCTTTGCCATTCTGGCCGTTCTTGGAATGTGCTCCAGTTTGCAGAAGGCTTTGTTCTCTCTCCAGGTAGCCCAGGTTTATAGGCCCGATTCTTCAGGTCTGGTGGGAAGGTAGAGGGCTGGGCATCTGGCTCTGGAGAAGTTCAAGGTCCTCCTGTCCAGGCTGGGCCTCTCCACAGCTCTCCCGACACTTGTTTCCCCTAGACCTGTCCCGGAACCGGTTCCCCGAGGTGCCAGAGGCAGCGTGCCAGCTGGTGTCCCTGGAGGGCCTGAGCCTCTACCACAATTGCCTGAGATGCCTGAACCCAGCTTTGGGGAACCTCACAGCCCTCACCTACCTCAACCTCAGGTAAGGAGGCAGGGCCAGGGGAGGGTGCAGCTTATCCTTCTCAGCCCCAAGCACCAGGGTACAGTACCCTGGGTGACCCTCCTGGTGGCCTTTAGAGGAGGGCCACACCGGGATGCTCTGCCTGGGGAGTGAACCCACTGCCTTTCTTCCTTCCACAGCCGAAACCAGCTGTCATCGCTGCCATCCTACATCTGCCAGCTGCCCCTGCGCGTCCTCATTGTCAGCAACAACAAACTGGGAGCCCTGCCTCCCGACATCAGCACCTTGGGAAGCCTTCGGCAGCTTGTGAGAATGGGGAGCAGGGCAAGAAGAGGGACTGTAGAGCCAGGCACCAGGGACCTTTTTGGGGGGAAGTTAAGGAAATGCAGGATGTGCCCTAGGGGTGAGGCCCAGACTAAAGGAGGTGACCAGAGACAGGAGACAGCTCCTGGTCTTGTGGCTTCTTCCTAGTTTTTTCCTCATTCCAGGATGTGAGCAGCAATGAGTTGCAGTCCCTCCCCACAGAGCTGTGCAGCCTCCCTTCCTTGCGGGATCTCAATGTTCGGAGGAACCAGCTCAGCACCCTGCCTGATGGTAAGGAAAATGAAGAATTGGAGGTGGGGGGTGGAGAAAGAGAGAGAGACAGACAGAAGTTAGAGAAAAGTTAGAGAAAGGGAACCTTCCACAGAAAAATAATGCTTAGTTGACCAGGGTTTTGCATTGTATCAAACAAACTAAATTATTTTATTTGTTCTTGACCAGCATCCCTCTGAAGCTGGCAAGACATGGGTTATTTGCTCTATTTTACAAATGTGGGAAAAGATGCAGCAAGGGGAGTAGGTGAGTGCATTGGTACCCTGTAGAACAGAGGTCCTCAAACTTTTTAAACCGGGGGCCAGTTCACTGTCCCTCAGACATTCCACACATGCGCACTGCGGGCCGGGATGAGTCGGCTGCTAAGCAGGACAGGCAGTGGCGGCAAAAACACCCGGTGGGCCGGATAATTGTTTTCAGCGGGCCACCTGTGGCCCGCGGCCGTAGTTTGAGGACCCCTGCTGTAGAACCTCAAGGTCAGAAGGGCCTTTAAGGTTATCCTGTGTCACCACTCACCCCAGTGGGAGTTCTCAAACACCTGAGTCAGATGATGCCCTGCACCTCCTCCCCAGAGAGTCTGAATCAGTGGGGCCACATGCTGGGCCCAAGCAGCTCCATTTTAATGAGCTAATTGTGATGCACCCCACATTTGATAGCTTCTGCTCCAAAGCAGCCACACCTTCTTTTATTCAGCCAGCATTGTTTTGTATATGTGTTCCCTGTGCTTTATGTGGGGACCAGGTAAATGTGAGTGATGTCACTCAGATCTGGGGCCATCTCTTAAAATGTAATGGCTTAATTAAATCTTAATTTAATGGGAGAGAAGCAGGACGAAATTCTCGAACAGGATACTTAGAGAGCTACAGGAGCTACACAGGGAGGCACTGGCTCTACTGGGGAACTTGAGGAAGGTTTTGCTCCTGAGGTGCAGTAGGAGTTGACCATTGAAGGAGAGTTATCCACCCTCTGCAGCCTCGGCAGAGGGAACCCCATGTGCAAAGTATGTGGGTGGGAGTAAACCTGGCCCAGCATGGATGCGGTTAGAAAGTGCTCGGCAGAAAGGACCTGTGCCATGCTAACCTTGGTTTTGAAGAACAAGAGACAGGAGTCAGGGGGTCATCCATTTCCTCTGGGCGTCCCCTTACTGCTATGCTGGCCCTCTTCTAAGTCAGTAGGGGTTCAAATAAGCTCTATCTGGGCCATAAAAGAGACCCCAGCAAAATGTCCTGGGACACAGAGGAAGGAGCAATGGATTCCAACTTAATCTTGGAAAGATTGCATGGAGAAGGTGATGAGCTGAACCTTGAAAGATGTGTGGACAGAACAGTGGCATTCTCCTATTAAGCAAAACAGCATGTGGAAAGGCCCAGAAGTCAAGGGGCTGGAGGGTTATCTGGTGCGGTATGAGGATGGGCAGTGAGATGGGAAACATGGGCTGAGCCAGATCAGACAAAGGTACCCCTACCTGTGGGCAAGCACAATCTCACCCAGGGATCAGGGCTTCGCTAGTGAAGTGCAGGTGGCATTGCAGCCCCTCCTGCCTGGGTACCTTTGTGTGGGGCACAGCTCACTTACCCTCAGCAACCCCAGCTGCAAGTCATGGAAAGTTTTTGAGCAACACGGTATCAACGTTGGTCTGATTTGGGACTTGTGATGGTCACTTAAGAAAGAAGGAGTGGATGGAGTGGGGAGTGGGCAGGGAGGAGAAATGGAGGAAGCACCTGGGATGGGCCTGAGCTGTAGTTGATGGGGGAGGGAGGCATGAAGGTGGGCCATATTTGAGCAGGAAGAGGAACAGGGAGACTGTTCTTAGATAGTGCCCTCAGCCAGCCAGGCCACAGCAGAGAGTAGAGGAAGTGAGCCCTTGGGCCTACTCCTGACTCTATCTTCACCCACCCTCAGAGCTGGGGGACCTTCCTCTTGTCCGCCTGGATTTTTCCTGTAACCGCATCTCCCGCATCCCGGTCTCCTTCTGCCGCCTCAGGCACCTGCAGGTCATTCTTCTGGACAGCAACCCCTTGCAAAGCCCACCTGCCCAGGTAAGAGGTGGCCTGGGGCGGACATTGGAGACAGGGTTGAGATTGGGCGGGAGTGTGGGTAGGTCCCTTTGGTAGCCAAGTAGGATCTGGAATGCCCCCTGCTTTTCCCTAACTCCTTTCGTGCTCATCTTCACACTCAGATCTGCCTGAAGGGGAAACTTCACATCTTCAAGTACTTGTCAACAGAGGCTGGGCGGCGTGGGGGCGCTGCACTGGGGGACCTGGCCCCTTCCCGCCCCCCGAGTTTTAGCCCCTGGTAAATAAGGGTGGGGAAGGAAGCCTGGATCCCTAATACCCCTTCCTGGCACCAGTGTCCCCATGGTTTCCAGAGGGAGGATGGGCAGGGGGTTGCTGCCCAGTATAGGACTGACCAGCTCTTCCTGGCTGGCCCCAGCCCAGCTGAGGACTTATTTCCGGGACGTCGGTACGATGGCGGGCTGGACTCAGGCTTCCACAGTGTTGACAGTGGCAGCAAGAGGTGGTCTGGAAATGAGGTAAGTGCCTCCTTTCCAAGGGACATTGGTGATCTCAGTCCTGGAGGAGAACCTCTGAGCCAGGACCCTTTGCCTTTTACCTCTAAATCTCAGAGTGACAGATGGCGGCTGGAGCTGTCTTCTTCCTTCCCTTGCCCAAGTATCCTGGGGAATGGCTGGCTTAGCAGCGGACCCCAAGGCCCTGAACCCATGAGTCCCCAGCTGTCTTTCATCTCTGCATTTCTGCATTTACAGTCAACTGATGACTTTTCGGAGTTGTCGTTCCGGATATCGGAGCTGGCCCGGGAGCCTCGGGGGCCCAGGGAGCGGAAGGAGGATGGCTGTGGTGAGTGGTGGTGTCAGGGGCCCTGGGTCTGAGGGGAATGGACAAGCCTGAAGGCCCCCATCTGCTTGCTGACGTGTCCTGCCTCTCCAGCTGATGGAGACCCTGAGCAGATTGACTTCATTGACAGCCACATGCCTGGGGAGGATGAAGAGCGAGGTGCTGCCAAGGTGAGGGGCTAGCCCTTGTCCACTGTCCATCTGCTGTGAGAGGAGAGCTGGAGGGGGTGGCCAGTGCAGGCTTGGAGATCAGGTCTCCCTCAGTTCCTCCTTCTGTTCTTTCTTCAGGAGCAGCAGCCACCAGAATTAAGCCCTGTAGCAGGGGAAAAGGAGAGGGCACCAAGCAGCAGGTACCAGAGCCACTTGAGCTGGCACCTCCTTTCTTTGCTCAGTCTCCTTGCACCGTCTCTCTTCCCTGACCTCCTCTACCCCTCTCATCCCGCCTTTGCCCCTTCAGGCGGGAGGAACTGTCTGGAGAGGAACGGCGCCGCCCGGACACTTTGCAGCTGTGGCAGGAGCGTGAGCGGAGGCAGCAGCAGCAGCAACAACAGAGTGGAGCGTGTGGGGCCCTCAGGAAGGACAGGTGTGGGCACAGGAGCTACTGGCAGGTGGTGGGCCCTGGAAATGAGTGGAAATGAGCCCTCCTGAGCTACCCTGCCCCTCGGGGTTGGCAGCCCCCTGTTTAACACTGCTGACCCCACATCTCTTCCTTCACTTTCTAGTTTTCTGAAGCTGGGGGTCAGGGCTCCTGGTGGAGGTGCTACAGCCTTGTCCACGCAGGCCACTTACAAGTATGTGTCCTCCCAGACTGCACCTCCCTGAGCCCTCTCCTTGCACTCCTTCCCCCTGACCATCCCTTCTAATTCCCATTCTGTCTCCTCAGCGGCATGCCCAAGTCCAGTGCCACCCAACTGGGAGCTTCAGGGGGACAGGGAGCTCCTGTCTCAGCCCCCACCTCTCAGGAGTCCCTTCCTATAGGTGGACCAGGTGTGACAGGGGCTTGGGGAAGAGGGTGGGGCTTGTGTGTGTGAGGGGTAGCCTGAGGGAAGAGTGGGACACCGAGGGGATGTCTCTCACCTGCCCCTGTCCCCTGCCTCTGTTCCCCAGTGACAGCACCTGCTCCTCGGCCGCTCGGCTCCATCCAGAGACCAAATAGCTTCCTCTTCCGTTCTTCCTCTCAGAGTGGCTCAGGTGGGTCTCCCCTCCCCAGTACTAACCCAGTGCTAATGCAGCACTAACCCTCAGGCTGCAGTCACCCGCTGGCCTGGGAGTTCTCTGGTCAATTGTCTCTTTGTGTTGAAAATCCCACAAACACAGAGACAGGAGATGTGTGTGCCAGACACTGTAATCCAGCTACAAAGTCTACAGTGGTAGTGGAGACAGCCCCACACCCTCCTTTTCTCCAGGTCCTTCCTCACCAGACTCTGTCTTGAGACCTCGGCGATCCCCCCAGCTTCTGGACGAGAAGGAGCTGATGGCTCAATTGCGCCAGGTAAGAGAGGTGGGATCTGCATGAGTGGGGCCTGGGCTCAGCATGGCACCTCCTGGTTTCCTGGCCTCCCTCAATGTCCTCTTTGTCCACCCTGGTGCTTTGCCTGAGGACAGGAGATGCAGGCTGGAGCTCCCTGCTGACTCTGACGTTCTCATCCCCCCCATCCTCCTCCTTTCCCTGCCTTTCAGGTCCTTGAGTCGCGGCTGCAGCGGCCCCTGCCTGAGGACCTGGCAGAAGCTCTGGCCAACGGCGTCATCCTCTGTCAGCTGGCCAACCAGCTGAGGCCCCGCTCTGTGCCCTTCATTCATGTGCCCTCACCTGCTGTGGTTAGTTGGGGCCCACGGTGGGAAGGAGGGAAGGGGACAGGGGACTCCTGTGGCCCCTCCCTAATCTCTTATCTTTTTTCCTTTCTCACACATCTCCAGCCAAAACTCAGTACCCTCAAGTCTCGGAAGAATGTGGAGAGTTTCTTAGAAGCCTGTCGAAAAATGGGGGTGCCTGAGGTATGGAGGGTTGATCTCAGAATCCTGGGGCTGGTCTACTATAAAGAGTGGTAGCATTCTGGGCTTAGTTGAACCCTTTGCATGGATGGCAGGGCTCCATTCACAGGGAGCATGTGGTCCCCAGAAGGAAGTCCCTGTCCTGCATGTCTCCCTTCCCTGCATGCCTCTTCCCTGCACTCTGCATGTTGGCACGGCTCTGGCCCTGGCATGTGAGGGCAGGGGGGTGGAAAGAATTGTCTTGCTGCTGCTGATGATGTCTGCCCTTTGTCCTTGTCCATCTGTCCTACTCTCCCTTCCCAGGCTGACCTGTGCTCGCCCTCGGATCTCCTCCAGGGCACCGCCCAGGGGCTGTGGACCACCCTGGAGGCCGTGAAGCGGGTGGGGGGCAGGGCCCCCCCACCGCTCTGGCCCCCCTCTGGTCTGGGCGGCTTCATCCTCTTCTACGTGGTCCTCATGCTGCTGCTCTATGTCGTCTACACTCAACTCCTGGGTTCCTAGGACCTGAAGTCACCCCTTCCCCCACCACCTTGCCCTATTTCTATTTATAAGACTCCTGTGCAACCCCCATGCCCACCAGTGGTGCCTTCAGCCCCTACCAAAGACACTAGTGAACCCTCCTCCCTTCACAAACACTGACCTCAGAGGCCCCACTCTGGTACCCCCAGATCCTGGGCACCCAGCCTCTGGCCCCTCCCATCTCAGTGCTGATGGTGCCTTCATGCCTTCTCCCACCCAGCCCTGCCCTCTGCTCCCCCAGAGGGGGTGGATCTTAACCTTCCTATTTTCACTCTCTCTCCACCCCCTACTCCCCACCCCCAATATTGGGGGCTAAATTATCTATATTTTGTAGAGAGAACTCTATATTTGTAGGAGATGCAAGGCCCAGTCTGGGTCCCCATCTCATGTATAAATTGTACAGACTGTGGCTGCCTGTGTGTGTGTGTGTGTTTGCGTCTGCTCCTACTGTGGCCAGGCCCAGTCCTGGCAGTACCCATTGGGCTCTATGTGCCAGCCTGCCTACTCCAGCATTTTCCTCTGGAAATGACAGGTCTTTCCTCCCCTATGAGCCGTGGCCCCTGTGTCATCTCCCTTCTGATATCTGCTGGCAGCTTCTTTGCATCTCATTTGTCCCAAACCATGTCCAGGGTGCCCCTGACCTCACCTACATTTTTAAGAGCCATCCTGTCAGCTTCCTTTGACCAGGCTCCTTTAGGGTGTCTCCCCCCTGCCCTCTGCCAAGGGCTGGGAAGCCCAGAGGAAAAGATACACGGGGATTTCATCTGGGCCCCTCCCCCCAGGAGTCCCTGTGCCAGCCCCACCACATCCTGGAAGAGGAGGGGGCCCCAGGAAGGGGCCTCCCCTACATCGCTGCTGTCGTCCACGCACTGCTGGAGCAGTCTTAGGGGTTGAGGTAGGGGCACAGGGCCGCCACCGGCCTGGGATCCCGGAACAGAAGACAGCCACGCCTGGGCCCTGCTCTAGCGAGGACTGGGGAGGGCGCCTCGCCGGCCCTGTTCCTCGGGCACCCCGTTGGGTTGGAAGCCGGCCTGCCCGGCCGGGCGCCTGGGTTCCTCTGAGTGTGACTGAGGGTCTGGGATGGAAGATGGGGCATCGGATGTTGTGTCAAGTGCAATAAAGAAGCTGGAAGGTCTCTGAGTTGCCGCTAGTCTCTGTGTCTCGGCGAAGGAAAGTGGTGAAAGCAATGCATTGTGGGAAAGGGGGTCTAAAGCGGCCTGTGCTCCGCGCTGCCGTGGGAAGCAGGCCGGGCTGCGCAACCCCCGCCCCCGCCAACAGGGGTCGCCCCGGGACCCAGCGGGAGCGCGTGCCACGTGGCCGGAAACGCACTGCGTGTTGGCGTCGCTGCGAGGCCGGGTGAGGTGGGTGCGGTGGGCGAGGTGGGCGGGCAGCCTGGACTCACCCGGACAGACAGGGTGGTGCCCACCACGGAGGGAGGCTGGGACCGAGTGGGCGCCACGGAGGGCGAGGCAGACGGGGTGGGGGGCCGGGCAGCGAGGGGCCGGGCACAGAGGTGCGGCCCTGCCCTTCCCTCCCCCAGACGCGGCATGTTGCCCTGGCCCCTTCCACGGTGGGACGGCGAGGAGCAGGCGCCGGAGGAACAGGGCCCCTCACCGTTCGGTGACCCCGGCAAGGTTCGGAACTCTGGAGGGAAAGCCCTGGGGGTGCCAGGTGCCCCCCCACAGGACAGGTGAGGGGCGCGGCACGCGGGAGGCGCTTACGGGAAGGCCGCGTGGGCTGGAGGCTCCCGCGGGTGCAGACTCTCATGGTCCTGCGAACAGTGGTTATGTTCGGCCTCCCGCCCCGGGCACCTCTGACCTGGCCGTGGGAGTGTTCAGACTCGGAGGGGAAGGCGGGAAGCTCTGACTGGGGCGTCTCAGGGCCTTTCCACCTCCAGCCCCCAGTTCCGGGCCCCAAGGCCTTCCTGGACCCGGAGAGGACAGCGGCGGGCCCCGCCCCGAGCAGGTCTGGTAGCCCAGCAGCACCCGGGACCCCCAGGTAGGTGCTGGGCCTTGCCCCCTCTACTCCTCAGGACCTTTTTACCCACTCCTGAGCCTGTTTTAATCTCAAGTTACCCCCCCCCCCCAGTTCCCCTTTTTCCCCAGATGGCCTGGGGGGTGGCCCCTTCGAGAATGACCCTGCTGGCACCATGGGACCCCAACTATGAGGCTAAAGCTGGTTCTCAGCTGGTGTGGGTGAGTAGGGGGTGCCTGTGGCTCTGGTCTCGGGGTGGGGCAAGGATACTCCAGTGATCTTTCCTGACCCTCCACAGGGACCCAGCTGTGCTTCCGGTGCCTCTTTCTCAAGCCGGACTTTGTGTCATCCCTCCTTCTGGCCGCTGTACGAGGCAGCCTCAGGCAGGGACCGCAGACCCCTGACTTCTGCAACAGTACGTCAGAATGGCGAGCAGGCACCCAGGGCTGCAGGTAACTTCCCTTGGTCCCCTCAGACTCAGGACTAATGCTTGGTGAGCTCCGTAGGGAACCCGTGCAGAGAGGTCCATGGGATGGGAAACCCAGCCTGTCACCCCAACAGCTTTTCTCCCTAGGATTCCCGGTGATGTGCTGTGAAGATGTCTTTCTTTCAGACCCTCTGCTGCCCCCTGGGCAGCGTGTTCCCTTGTACCTGCCTGAAGCCCCCCAGCAGGTGGGTACTTTCCTGCCCTGGCCTTTTCTCAGCCTCCCTGCAGGGCTTGGGAGGAGACACTTCCCTCTCTTCTCTCCTCAGGTGATGGGCTCTCTGCAGCTGCTGCTCCCACCCCCTATCATGTCCCCCCAGGTCTGCCCCACCCGGTCCCCTGGCTGCTGCACCACCTGGCTCAGTGGGCCTGAGCTGATCGCCCTCACTGGCCTCCTGCAGATGAGCCAGGGGGAGCCAAGACCTAGCTCCACGGGTTCCTCGGCAGCTCCCACCCCCCCTTCTGATCCCCTAGACCCTGTTTCTGATCACGCAGGCCCCAGTGGTTCTCACTGCACTGACCCATCTCTCCGACAGACCCCAGAAACCAATTGTCCATAGCACCTCTGGGGGCATCATGGGCCCCCTACTCTCTCAGGCGGTTCTTTTGACAATAAATGTGTTGGTTTGCAAACAGGCTCCTTGTGGTAAACAGAATGGGGCATTCAGGCAGGGATAGGGGTCTCTTCCTCCATGGCAGCTTTGGCTGTCCTCCCCTAAAATTCTTGTTACTCATTGGCCACCCCCTACAGTGGGGTGAGGGAATACATGGGCCTAAGACCTTTTCAGGCTGACCAAGAAAGGCACCGTTAACGAGGGGCCCCGCAGTACAGTTCCCCAGACTGAGTATATAAGAAGCAGGGATTCCATCAGCTCTGCCAGGCCCAGGAAAGGGAGGATTGTGTAAGCATGTGGCTGACATTGGGAGAGGCAATCTAGGGAGTAAGGGGGTGGCACATCACTTTTGGGGACACCAAAAGAAAGATACCTGGTGCTTTCATCCTTCTTGCACTGAGGTCCCAGAAGTTTATCCTTGGAGCTGAGGGTTAGTTGTTTGGTTTGTGGGAGACACAGGCAGGCACTGCAGGTGTGTGTGTGGCGGGGACAGGGAAAGGTACTCGTGGGAGTCCTCATCAGAGGAAGGGTGGCAGCACCGGTTCTCCCGAGACTCTGAACTGATGCTGCATAACTTTGCAGGGAAACAGGATCAGAGCTTTGGCTGAGAAAGCCAGAAATTTGTAGGATTTTTTTTGGAGGGAGGATGGTGATCTAGAATTTTCTCCCTTAAAAGAATCCAACTTCTTGGGGAACTTCCTCCTGAAGACTTCCCACTGCTGGAAGGGGCAGAGTGGGCAGCGGGCTCGAAGGGGCAGCTCGGCGCCTCTGTAGGTCACCCGTCCTAGGGGGTGTCCGTGCCTTAGAACCCCTCAGTTGTGGGAACACATTCTAACTTTGCCATTTTCTCCCCCTCATCTCACTTTCCATCTGTCAGGCAGACGCGCAGCCTTGCCTCCAGAGTTGGTTCTGGGACTTGATTTGGGGTAGCTGTGGGGGCAGTGTGTGATAGTCTTGGGGGCATTGCCTCATGCTTCCAGAGGCAGGACATGGTCCAGGTCAACTAGCTGAGGTGGCTGGCTGAGGGGGTCCAGTATGGCAGTGTCCATTTCTAAGTAGTCTGGGGCCATGTACTCAGTGCACACCTACCCCTGGGCTAGTTGGACTGGGCGGATACCCTCCTGCTCTCCAGCTCTCCCCAGTGCTGGGATGGGGGCCTTGGAGCCTGGGCCCTGGCTCCCTGGCCCTGGCTTGTAGGAAGAGGACCTGGTGGAAAACAGCTCATGGGCACTTAGTGCCCTCCCAATCCTAGAGCAGCTGGTGGAGAGCAGCGTTGGCAGCAGAAGGAAGGTGAGGGGGGAGGTGCTATCATAAGGTAGCCACCCCCACCCCTCATGGGCTCCCATTGACTCAGTCACTCCCAGCTCCCTTGGGTAGTGGCTCCCTCCCCTCTCTAACCCTCTGGGTATGGGGTATGAGGCTGATGCCCCCAGCATCCCAGGGTCTGGAGGGTGGCTTGCTTGCTCCTCTCACCCAGGCACCTGCTATAGCTCAGGCCCCTTGATTGGGCCCAGGTGACTCGGATCTCATGAGGTTGGGGGACAGAGCGTCTGGAGGCGCTCATCAGAGGATCCCTTGGCAGTGGCTCAATCCTACCACCGGCACCAGCGTTCTTAAGTCGCTTCATGGCGGCCAGGACAGTCTCATGAATGCTTCAGGCACCATGACATTTATTGTTTGTAGCCACAGCACCCGCGTGGGCACCAGAGTGGCTGAGTTTCAGGAAGGAGGAGTCTGCATGGCCACAGCAGCACACACTGAGCAGGGACAGGAGCGGGAACCCCAGGTAACGATGCCAGGGTGTCCTTGGAACCTCTGCCTTTGGGCTTCTGCAGCAGGCTCAGTACCCCCAAACCCAGGCACAGGCGGTAGACACTTGCCCGGGCCTCGTGTCCACCTCAGTCCCTTGGGCCACAGTGTCACCGGCCAGACATCCTGGAATGGAGTGAGGATTCAGGTCCTGGGATCCTCATGGGAACTGGAACCTTGGAAGGACAATTGGATGATCACAGGAGGGGGCGGGGGGAGTGTGTTGGAGTCACTGTGCTCTGAGAACTGATCAAGTGTAAACGCTTAATATTTGAAATTGATTTCGGTGACCTAGAGCAGGGAGAGGCTATGGATAGACTAAATCCACGACTATCCGACCCTGGCCCCCATATTCTCTCCGACCACCCCGAACTTGGGCCTCACTGCGGTGGCTGCAGGCACCTCGAGGAAGGTGCCCCATCACACCTGCTGCTCCGATTCGCTCTCCCCGCCACGCCCAGGCTGCGGTCACATGTGCGGAGGATAATCAGGCGGCCCTGGTGCGCGTCCACCGCTGGCTGCTGGTGCACGCACCCGCCAGGCTCACGCTGATTTTGGGCGGTGCTCCACCGCTCGAGTCTTGGCGGCTCTGCCCGGGGCAGGAGACGCAGCGGTGCTGGGACTTCTGCTTCCGCAAGTGGCTGCGACGCCGAGGTGGACTCAGATGCATGGCGAGCGACTTGGACTGTGTCCCCGTGGGGTGACCGCCTCCGAGATTCCATCCGGCCACAGGCAGTAAAGTGGCCGGCGGAGGGGGCGAGACGGCCGAGGAAAGGCCAGAGTGGATAGAGGTGGCTGCTACCCGTCTTGATGCCCAGCGTCTCTCTCCAGCTCCCGACTTGAAGCTTATGGCCGGGTTCCTGCCCAATGACTAGGACACCCTGGTCTCCGGAGATCGATCCTGGCAGGCTCCCCGCGCCTCCTCTCCTCCCCCCCTCTCCACCAACAGCTCATCACTCCCCACCCCGGGAGCTGGACGCCAGCCCAGTGGTGGAAGTGGAGTTCCAGTCGGGACAGTCTCCACCCCACCCGCTCGGACTGGGGACTGGGCTCTGGTAGGCGTAGGGAGCGTGGGGGCATCTCCATGGATTTGCGCTGACTGCTGAGAAAGTGACCAGGTGAGGCGAATGTGAATGCAGCATGGAACTGTCAGCAGTGATTGTGCTGGCTGCGCGATCCGCAGTCCTGAGTCACCTGCAGCGGAGCCCGGCCACCCCTACAGCAGCACCCTCCTCTGGTTCTAGCCGTCCAATATCCTTCCCACTCGGGACTGGTTTTGTACTCTTCCTTCCCAGGTAATTCTAGGAACCAGACCACCCAGCACTGGGTTGTGCTGACTTTCAAGGAGCTAGAGGTTCTCTGTGGATTTGGGGTGATAGGAGGTGTCCTGGGATAAGTAAACTTGTGGATTGGCCCCTACCCACCAGAATCCAGGTCGAGAGACACCATGGAAGGAGGTTCCACGGAGGAAAAGGCCGTCTCAGGGGCATTTCCATCATGCTGCCCCATCACCTCAGCCCAAAAATGCCACCACGGGCCAGCTGAATGTGCAATGTTCTCTGATCACAGTACAGACTCTCTGGTGGGGGTATCCTTTGCCCTTTGTTTCCTGAGAGGTTTGAGATGGGGTTGGAATTCAGACACTTAATTTTTTAATTGATTTTAGAGGGAGAAAAACATCGATTTGTTGTTCCACTTATTCATGCATTCATTGGTTGATTCTTATATGTACCCTGATTGGGGATCAAACCCAAAACCTGGGAGTATCAGAGGATGCTCTAACCAACTGAGCTACCAGGCCAGGACTGGAATTCAAACATTTTTACAACTCACTTCTCCTCTTCCATGGACCAACTATCTTGGGGAAAGATGGCACTGGTCAGTGCACACTCCACAGGACAAACCAGCAGTTGACACCATTGGGGGCCTTAGAAGACCTCATGATATCACTCTCATGGAAAGTAAGATACCTAAAGCGAAGAGCTGAGGGGAAGGGAGAGAAAGAGGGCAAGTGTAGCCTCCATTAAAGATGGTGTTTGGGGAGGGGCACAGTCAGGAAAAGATGTAACAAGAGTACTGAGCAAGGGAACCTGACTTTTTTAGGGAGAGTAGAGCTTTTCCATGTCCCAGGCCTGGAAAGAAGGGGCTGGAGTACTGGAGGAGCCAAAGGTGTAGGATGCATGGGAGCTGGCGGGTGCCCTTAAACACCTTTTAAGGGTGATACTGGGAGTGGTATACGGGACCAACCAGCATCCTGAGGGTGGGTATCCAGCCAGCAGGCAGGTGTGCCCAGGCCCACTTCCAAGTGCCCCTCCCCCCTCAGCAAAGCCCCATCAATACAGCAGGAGAGGTGCTGGCAGCTCAGGTTGTGCACAGGGAGAGGCAGGTGTGTGGGTCTGTAAGTCGCCACCAAAAACAGTATGTTCAAGGCCATAGTCCCTAGTCTGGCCATCTATGTACCAGATGCCAATGTGCAAAGTGGCAGGGACAAAAAAGCCATCTGCAGGCCCCTCACTTTCCCAGCCCGGGTGCTGCCTTTTAGAGGAGGGCACCCATGGGGCCTACCTGCTGTGCCCCTGGCCTGGAGCCTTTTCCCACAGGTTTGACTTGAAACTACCCACAGGAGAGTCTCGTCATACCTACTCCTTTCCACTCCCCATCAACCAAGCCACCTTGCAACACCCCCGTCCTGGGAAATCACAGCTGCTGTCAGAGAGCAGCTCTAGATCACCTTAAATGGTGGGTAAAGATAAAGCAGGAAGCAGCAGGGATCTCAGTGCCTGGGTTCTGGGCAAGTAGTGGTGGTAGATGGGTTCGTTATCAATGCCAGGTGATTTAGCCTGCTGGGTACAGAAAGAGCCTGGAGTCAAATTGGCCTAATCAGTTGCCCTAGCAACACTGCCCTTGTCCTAACCCAGACAAGATTTATTCTAGCCTGTTGCCCTGGTAACTTGAGTTGCTCCCCTGGGACAGGAAATGGCAGAACCTCAGCTCTGCTGGGTGAGAACACCTCTTCCAACCACAGGGGTCCACCTGTGCATCCCTCTGCCAGGTGCAGGACAGCCATGGGATGGTGGGATGGGATTTCCACATTCTGAGTCCCTCCAGCCCCACGGTGTGTGCGCACTGGGGTTCAGATTTGCAACTACCAGGCAGAGCAATGCAGGATTGCCCCAGGGGTTAGGGCAGGACAAACACAGCTCAGTCATTTAGACATTTTCTATCAGGTGAGGGATTTTTCCATTCTTTGCCACTCACCTGGAGAGAGGAAGCCAAGCTGCCAAGAGAGGCAGATGCAGTCCTAGTCTTGGCTTGTGCCTGGGGAACTCTTGACTTTTCTGCCCTGGGGTCTGAGGCTGACCCAGTATAACTTCTGACTGGTCAACCAGCTCTGGCCAGTGAGCTGGCTGGAGTCCTTACTGGACAGAGTGACTGGGAGGCACGGAGAAGGTACTGCAGGGAGGTCCTGGGCCCAGGCGCCATGCAGTAAGGAGATCCCTGGGGAACAGCAGGCGTGTGCCTGCAACATGCAGTAAGAATCACTGCAGCTCTTGGTTCTTTAAATCTCACCTCCAAACCTCAGTATTTTTGCTTAGGAAAGGAGGGGTGGGAGAGCTGGGGGAAAATAAGAAAGGCTCCTTTCCCTACTACACGGCAACAGATACCAGCTTTCCCGCCGCCCTTCCCTGGCTCTAAGCAAAGGGAATGCGAAAGAGACCGGAGGAAGGGCAGAGAGATATCAAGGGTAACAGAAAAATACTAAAAGGAAACAGACAGAACATGATAAATCCAGGGGGAAAGGATGGTGGTCCACCCTGGGAGATCCCACCAGGAGATGGAAGGAGGGGAGGCTGGGAGAATGAAAACAGACACAAGACAGGATGGTGGAAAGGTTGGGAAGCCATCCTGGCTGGGCAAATGGCAGCAGCTGGAGGTATTTTCAGAAAAATCTTCCAAGTAAAGTGATAACCCAATCCCTGTTTCTTCTTGCTGTTACACTGTTAAAGGTAACTGGGTAGAAAAACCCAGAGAAATCCCAAGAACGAACAGCTAAAGGGCCAAGAGTTCTGGGCAACCTGGAAAAGGGAGGAACCTCTTCTGACATCAAGGCCAAGCGCTGTGCCTCGCCTCCGTCAGGGGAGGTGTTTAACCCAAGCGGTCTGTCTTGTCACCACACAGACATCAAGGCTGTTGCCACACACCCTCAGGGGGAAACAGTCTGGGGAGGGGCTGAGAATGCACCTAGGAGTGGTTGACAGCCACCAATCTCCCGTCCCTAGTAGAGGCAGCCCTTCCCCTGCCTTGCTCCCTCCCATTGCTAACACGGGACTCCAGTTCAGACAGGAGCTGGCTCTGTGGGCTAGGAGTCCTGTCCTGGGCCAACTATCCTTGGCCAACAGCAGGCAGCATCGCAGGCAACGCAGGCGACATTAACACCAACCCAGGCAGTCATGTTGAGTGATGTGAGGGCACTCCAGCTGGCCCCAAACAAGACCGAGTGCCATTTTCTTTTTCTTTCAAATGCAGTTCTTTTCCAACATTGCCTATTAACAGCTTTGGTGCAGAGATTTGGGGGCCAGGGAGGTACATGGAAAAAAGAAAGGAAAAAAGTAGCCAATTACACAAAGCCTTTCCCTGGAAAAGCCCAGGCTCTGGGGTGCTCAGAACATGTGGCTGCCCTCCCCCTACACTCTGGCGCTCTGGCTTTGCTGGTTGAGGCACAGATGGGGATACATCCCATTCCCCATGTACAAGAGCTTTCTGGGAGAGGGAGAATGGCTGCTTGTATCTCTATCTCTCTTTCTCTCTGTGTATATATATAATAGGCTATATTAAAAAATTCTCTCTATATAAATATAAAACATTGGTATCCAAACACCACAACTAACTAAAGTGCTTGACAGGAGTTGGACATGTCTAAGTATGTAGGTAAAACTAGTCATTCTGAGTGTCCAGGATGAGGGAGAGAGCTGGGGAAGCAAAAACCATGGAGAAAAGGGTGTGCTGGCCCAAGCCAGGGCACAAGGGTACTCTGGTCCCCCAGCGCCTTCTCAGCCTGTCTGGTCACTATCCCATGTCAACACTGCACCTCAGCCCACCTTTACTGTACTCTTCCCACTGTGCTTCTGTCCACGAGAACAGTGTTGGAAAGCTGGACATGGGGAAGGGTTCCCCCAGGGCAACCTGGTCAGCCTTTGCCCACAGCTTCCTCTGCCCACGGGGTTGAGGACAAAGGGAGCATTGTGTATGCTGAGGGCAGGAGAGGAGGGGGGTTACTGTCATTGTAATTAATAATTTGAGAAATAAAACACTATTGCTCCTCTAAGCCAGGCCCTGCCTTCTCTCCTGGGCCTCCTACCTGGGTGGGGGCTGGAAGGAAGAAGGGAGGAAGCTGCCCTTTTATATGCAAGCTCCAAGCAAAGCATTAGCACCTCCATCTCCAAGACCCCTACCCTGCACAACAAGGCCCACTCTGGTCCCAGACCCACAGAAATGCCACAGGCAAGTGGTCACCAGAGCTGCAGGGAGTAGAAGGGCCCCAGAGAGCAGGGAAGAGGCCCCCCCGCTCCCAGGACACAGTGCTACAAGAAAGGGTTGGTGGTGGGAGGTTTGGAGGCAAATGGGCTTGATGAAGATCCAGTCTGGAAAGAAACAACAACAACAACAAATTGTTAGATTAAAGAAGAAAAGCTGGAGGCCACAGAAGAAATGCAGTGCAGGCTTCCTTTCTCCCTTAAGGTGACTGTGCTAAGGAAAGTGGGAACTTGAAGGAGCTAAGAGCCAAGTGGAGGGGGTGGGTGTTGGGGGAGATGACAGGGCAGAGGAGACGTGAGGCCCATCAACTACCCCCTCATCCCTGGCTTGGACAAGGCAGAACTTCATGAGGAAGGGGTCTAAGTTCCACCCCACATCACCCTCTTCGAGAAGGATTCTGTCCCCAAGACCCAGAGTGAGAGGCCATGCCCCACACCATGGACTGGGCACTCACCATGAAGGGATTGGTGGAGATGCCCCCTGGCTGGCTGAGTGGCCTCTGCTCCAGCTTGGCTGATCCTAAGTCACTGAAGGAAGATCCTGGGAAGCAAGAGCAAGACCTTAGCAGACATGAGCCCTGGCCCTCGTGCCGGTGCTGACCTGCTCGGTCTCCCTCCCTACAGGGCAGGCACAGCTCTCTCCCAGGTACGCAGTGAGAGGGGGCCTTGCTAAAGACGGGAATAAACGTATGGAGCAGCCAGAGAACACAGGCAGGTCTGGTGCTGCCCTGATTCCTCCCCTATAGTCCCAAATGGAATTAGCTTGCACCTCTGGCTCCCTAATATACCTGTAACACATGTGCAGATGCATTTGCGCGCGTGCGTACACACACACACAGTCGCTGGGGGTGGGCAATGGGGGGTGAGGAAGGAGGGTGAGGTCTGAATCCTTTACCATTCTGGTGCTGAGGCATCGAGGTCTGCAGGGAGAACATCGGTGGTGGGAAGGTGGTGGCAAAGGCCCCGGTGGGTGGCACTGTCTGGGAGAAGCCAGGTCCAGCACTGCTCATCCCAAAGCCAGGTCCTGTGGAGTGAGGGACATGAGGCTCAGGTGAAGGTCTGGAACATAGGCCGGAGAACAGTTCTTCCTGAATCCTTCCAAGATGGGAAAATAGAATGGAGTTTTTCCCTAACCAGAGGTACCCAACAGAAGTACCCTGAATGAGCCAGAGAACTCTTCAGTTTCCATGCAAGATATCAAACCTGCCTGCTTCCGGCCCACATGGCTTGTGGCATGGAGAACATGGACACGACACAGAACTGGGGGCAGCTATAGGCTACCTATTAAACTGCATAAATAAAAAGCTAATTATCGGCCCTTTCTGTGCCTCAGTTATCTCATTTCTAAAATGGAGCGGTACCTATCTCCTGGGGCCACCGTGAAATGAAATAACAGATGTAAAGCACTTAGCACTGGGCTGGCCTGCCACAGCACTGGAAGCTGTTATTCTTCTCTCTTCATGCCTCAAGATTTTTGAGAACAAAAAAAGGGGTGGTAGTGCATGAAGAAAGGAAGCAGAGGCTGAGGAGGGGCAGGGTGAGAGGAGGAGACCATACCACCCCGGCTGATGAGGGCAGGGAATAGGGTCATGATTTCAGGTGGCTCGCCTTCGGACACAGAGGGCAGGAGAAAGAGGAATCACTGCCATTATCAGTCAACACTAAAACAGCTTTAGAACTGATGCAGGTAAACAGCAGTCTAGTCTCTAATTCTGAAATTCTGATCTGTAGCCTGGGTGCCTCTACTTTTTGCCCACTAAGATGGGTCTGGGCTGGGGCAGGGTGCGCAGGGGGACTAGTTTGGGAAACCACAACTGCCAGCTGAGGCTGCCTGCTGCTCCTCCTGACAGTGTGCGAAGCGGGGGGAGGGGAGAGAAATTGGTGCTGTGAGATACAGGGAGAGGGGACAGTCTGGAAGGCTTACCTGTGGCCAAGCCATTGGGCTGGAATGGGTTTGTGGAAGGCAGCTGAGGGTGAGCAGCAGGTGCTGTGAAAGGGTTGCTGAAGGCTGCTCAGGGTGGAATGGGGTAGAGATGAGAAAAAAAGATGGTTATTTTTCCCCCCATTTGCTTAATATTGTGATAACTGAGCATTCCTCTAACTCTTCTCTCCATTCCACCCACCCCTGTCCAGAGTTCTCAATTCCCTCTAGGACTTGGATCCCCTTCCTGGGTCTTCACAGGCAAGACTCACCTCCAAAGGCAAGCCCTGTGCTGCCACCTCCACCAGTTGTGGCCGACTGGAGTGTGGGGACCTGGCTGGTCATCCCAAAGATGCTGCAATGCGGGGAGAGAGGTCAGCATGCATAGCTTCCAGGACCAAGGCGATAGGTTGGGCAAGGGACTAGGACAGTGGTTCTCAACCTTCTGGCCCTTTAAATACAGTTCCTCATGTTGTGACCCAACCATAAAATTATTTTCGTTGCTACTTAACTGTAATGTTGCTACTGTTATGAATTGTAATGTACATATCTGATATGCAGGATGGTCTTAGGCGACCCCTGTGAAAGGTCATTCGGCCGCCAAAGGGGTCGTGACCCACAGGTTGAGAACCGCTGGACTAGGAGATGGCACACCCAGTACTGCCAGACAGGAGGAGTTGAGTGGGCTGGGAAAAGCAAGGCCAGGGTTTCTTGGCCCACTCTCCTGCCCTAAGGCAAACCCATGTCTGTGCCTACCTGCTAGGGATACCTCCAGCTGATGCCCCAGGTCCCAGGAGGCCGCCCATATCTGTGAGGCTGTTGGGCTGACTGGCAGGTGCAAGAGAGGCGGCACCAAATGGAGTCACCTGGCTGCTCCCTGGTAAGTCATAGGAAATAAAACAGGGAGTGTTTGGCTGGAGACAAGATGGAAAGGGCAGGAGAAGATGGGGTTCAGTGGAGGAGTGGAGTGATCACATGAGAGGCACCACCTGGGTTCTCTGAGCCATCCCAGTCTTCCCACGATCACCCAGTTCAGGAGGACTTGTCTCCCACTGAGAATTCCAGGCCATGTGAATCTAGGCTCTCAATCTTCCTAGTGCTCAAAGCTGCCACCGCTGAGAGAAAAGCAGCTTTCTCCTAGAGCGGGAGGGATGGTGACCTGACTTACACTTTCCATTTTTCCCCTCAAGAGACTAATTTACTCAAACCAGCATTTCCACTTATGGATAAATCTTATGAAGGGCAGGTAGAGAGTAGAGAGGGTGGGGGGAGCTATGAAAGGACCAAGGACACTCGGGAGAATCTCATGAGATGGCACTGGAGGTGATGAGCATAAATCTTCAGCCATCAGCACTCCCATCGGAGCCACTTCTTTTTTTGGGAAGCCACCCTGATGCTATGAGCTTAGATTAGGGCTTAGAGACACTGCTCACTGGGCAGAGCCAACTGCAGGGTTCTCCTGCCCTCCCTGGGGTTCACATCTAAAAAGAAAAAGCAGAGGACAAGCTCCACGTGGGAGTTTTACAAAACAGCCTGCAGAGCAAGAGTCCTGGAAATCCCACAGGAAGAGGCCTAAGGCCCTGTCATTTTCTGAAAGCCTCTTTATCTATGTGTCTACATATCATCTGTCAACCATTCTGGGCTGTTGTGAGGGTATAACAAGGCTACAAATGAAAAAAGTTTTATTTTTATGAGTGCTGGAAGACTCATTCCTGAAGGGAAACACACTTTGCATATTATCTGCAAAGTGTGTTTATTGGTTAGAGCATGGTCCCCAAACACCAAGGGTTCGATTCCCTAAGGCAAACCCATGTTAGGGCACATACAGGAATCAATCAATGAATGTGCAGATGGGTGAAGAAACAACTGGATGTCTCTCTCTCTCTCAAATAAAAAAACAAACAAACAGTGACTATTTGAATAGGTAAAGTAAGAACTGGATTCTACTTGTGGCTGTACCACTTGCTACCATTGTGATTATAGCAAACTATTTCATTCTCCATTTTTTTCTCACTATTTCACAGGGTAGCTGTAAAGACCCTCTAAGTGTTTTAAAATCTAAAATATAACACAAATGTGAGGTATTATAACATATGATTTAAGAAATGATCTGGTTATGGGGGCGGGGGGAAGGGGAACAAATGTAATAATCTGAACAATAAAGATTTAATTTAAAAAAAAAAAGAAAGAAATGATCTGTAAGGTCAGAGAAGCAAGACAGAGTCTTAAAGGAAACATACAATGGCTGGCTCAGAATAGGAACACAAGTGAAGAAGACCCTCCCTAGACCCTCAGCTCCAGCCTTTTTACATGCTCTGCCTCTGCCTTGAACAAGAGGCCCTACCCATGACCTTGGCCTGCAAACTCCTACTCACCCTTTGGCCTTAACAAAACCATGTGTTTAGACTAGCCTTTCCTGATGCACTAATGTGAATTCGATCCTGATTTTCCTCAGAGCACCTTGTTCTTTTCCTTCAGAGCACTTGACATATTTATAGTAATAAATAAAAATACTACTAGATCAATTCCACTGCCAGGAATTTTCTTACAGATATAACTTGCACGCGCAAACATGACATACAGGGTTAACTGCAGCACTGTTTAACAGCAAAAGACTGAATCATCCTAAATATTCACCAACAGGGGACTGATTAAATAAATTATTATATATACATATAAAAAACAAGGAAGCTGTTAATGTATGAATAAAAAAAGATCTAATAAAGTTTAAAAAATCAAGGTGCACAACAGTATATATATTATGCCATAAAATCTGTAAAAAAAAAAAAAAGAGAGAGAGAGAGAGAAGCAGGACAGTAAAAAATGAGTAAATGAAGGCCATCTGCTCCTCTTCCCAGAGATATGGCTGTGGAGAGGAGTTGTGACAAGAGACAAGCATGGGTAAGGCTGTGGAAACATCCTGTAGAATGGGAAACTTTAAGCATATTGTGGGGAAAAGGGAATATGCCAGCAAAGGGAAATGAAGTAGAAGTGTTATTCAGATAAAGCTGACATGACCAAGCCCTGCAGAAAGTGGGAAACGGTGAGAGGGATCCTTCACAATGGAAGATACTTTTCCTCTCAGAGACAAGAGGAAAAAGAAGGGAAAGGAAAAGATAAAGAAAGGATACAAGGAAGGAAATGGCAAAGCCAAGCTGGTTCTCCAATCTGTGTTGCTCCCTGGCTCCTTCAAACCTCATCCTGTTTTCTTGTCAATCAAGTTTTGTTTTTTTCCTGAATGCCCAGAGCTGTAATTTAAATCTCCATGCTTTTTCTTTTCTAAAGGTTTAGCTGTATTACTCCAAAACCTTGTTTAAGGGTATCTTCACTGTACTAGGCATGAGCTTGACTGATGGTGACCAGGCTCTAACTTGGAGAAGCTGAGAATCCAGCAGGTAAGACAGGTGCCCAGTGCCTGCCTACTGCAAGGTTCCAAAGATGGGCTGCTTCTAGTGTGCCAGCACTTAAAAGACAGTACTCTCCTGGCCGCTCTTCTTCCCCAACCGCTGGACTTCCTACAGGAACAAGGCTAGGCTATAATGCCACTGCACATTCTTGGGCGTCAATCCTCTCCACTCCACAGGCCATGAAGAAGGCTGGAAAACCAGCAGGGTGGTGTTGGGCCTTCTGATTTTCCAGCCCCAGGTCCTTCCCTTGCCTGATTGACTCAGAGCACATGGAATTTCTGAGCGAACACAGCTCCCTTAGATCAGACTCTTCCGTCCTGCTCTGGGCCTTCATGTCAGGGAACTCCCCTCAGTGAGGACCAGGTCCTCTGTCCTCCCAGACTGGGAGAAGGGCTGTGGTTCCATCTGCAAGCAGTGTTGTGTGTCTCCTGGTGGACAGCAGAGGGCAGAACTGGCCCTAACTTGAAGTGAACACCTTAAAAAGAGCACATTCTCAGAAAGGAGGCCACAGCGAGAGTATCTGTGCTTGGGTTTGCTTCTAATATACTTCCGGAGCCTCACTTCTGGAGCTGTATTTGTACACACGTCTTATAGCAGTTTCAGGGGAAAACTGCAGTTTTAGAAACCTCCCCTCTTCATACTCCCTCTTAGAAATATAAAAATACAACAAGGCTTGTCAGAAGAAATACCCACCTCTCACCAACATCTTCCTACTTCATACCCAATAGTTGTTGTTTTTTTAAAACTGATTTGAGGGAGGGAGGGAGGGAGGGAGGGAGGGAGGGAGAGAGAGAGAGAGAGAGAGAGAGAGAGAGAGAGAGAGAGAGAGAGAGAAACATCAATGATGAGAGAGAATCATTGGTTGGGGGCTTCCTACATGCCCCCTAATGGGGATTGAGCCTGCAACCTGGGCATGTGCCCTTGACCAGAATCGAACCCGGGACTCTTCAGCTCACAGGCCAATGCTCTATCCACTGAACCAAACCAGCTAGGGCCCAATAGTTCTTTTAAAAATATTTTTTTATTGATTTCAGAGAGGAAGGGATATGGAGAAAGAGACTGATTCATCAATGATGAGAGAGAATCATTGATTGGCTGCTTCTTGCTCGCCCCCTACTGGAGAATCAAGCCCGAATGGGACATGTGCCCTGACTGGGAATCAAACCTTGACCTCCTTCCTGGTTTGTAGGTTGACACTCAACTACTGAGACACACCAGCTGGGCCCAATAGTTCTTTTAGATCACACTCACAGAAGCAACCTCATGATCATGGTGTGGCGCAAAGTGCATGGAATCTGCCACTTATCAGCTATTCAATTTTGGCCAAGTCACTGATCAAGTTGAGCCAGTTTTCTCTCCTGCAAAATGGGGAATCTTCCATTCCTCCTGGAGACAATCCGAGGGTGCTTCTGGCAATGACAAGAGCCTCAGAAATGCTGGTTGGCTCTGGATATGGCTGCAGACTCTGCATTTTGAGATGATCAGACACTGAACAAAAGTTTCATCCCCATTTCAGCCAGGAATGGTTCCAGGGCTAATGCCTTCTTTTTCTCCTTTAAAATATTTAAAACAACTGTGCTAGGAATGCATTTCTGAACAGACCAATTTATAATAACCTTGTATAGACTGTTTCCTTTAGAGCTCCAATTCCCAAGAACACGTTCCTTTTGCTAACCTGACTACTTCTGTACCAATTTACATTCTAACCAACAGCTCACAAAAGGGCCCATTTGCCTGGCTGGTGTGGCTCAGTGGTTGAGTGTCAGCCTATGAACCAGGAGGTCATGGTTTGATTCCCAGATAGGGCACATGCCCCAGTTGTGGACTTGACCCCCAACAGGGAATGTGCAGGAGACAGCCGATCAATGATTCTTTCTCAATACTAAAGTTTCTATTCCTTTCTCCCTCTCCTTCCTCTCTCTGAAATCAATTTTTTTAAAAAAATATATTTTATTGATTTTTTATAGAGAGGAAGGGAGAGAGACAGAGAGCTAGAAACATCGATGAGAGAGAAACATCGATGAGAGAAACATCGATCAGCTGCCTCCTGCACATCTCCCACTGGGGATATGCCCGCAACCCAGGTACATGCCCTTGACCGGAATCGAACCTAGGACCTTTCAGTCCGCAGGCCGACGCTCTATCCACTGAGCCAAACCGGTTTCGGCTGAAATCAATTTTTTAAAGAAAGGGCCCATTTCCCCACAAAATATTGGCCATTATCAATCTTTAAAATTTTTGCTAATATAATGTCAAAAATGAATATTTTATTCTAATTTGCATCTGATTAGTTAGGTCAAAGACATTTTCATATTTTTTCTGGGTATTATCTGCTTATATCCTTTGTCCATTATCCTATTCTTTCTTATTTATAAAACACATTATGGCTATTAGCTTTTTGTCTATCTTCCAGGTTGTAAGTATCTCCTCCCTGTTCCATGCCTTTAAGTTTTATTTAGGACATCTTTTATCATATAAAATGTGACCTGTGAAATTTCTATTTATTAGTATTTATGGAGATTTTGTTGCCCCCTACTAATTTCCCAAATTGTAAAATGGTTCTATGTTTGCAAATACTATATATTCTGCCTTTTGTTTACAAAATTCTGTTTATATTTATTAGGTCAAACTTGTTAAAGTGTTACTCAAATGGTTGGCTTCCTTCCTTAACTGTCTGTCTACTTTACCTATTAATTTGTGAGAGTCTATTATAGCCTCCCTCTCTGTTGGTTTATTAAATTTTAATTATCTGTTATTGCTTTATGAATTTCAAGGTTACCCTATCAGTTAAACTTACTTTTTAAACTTTTATCAATATAAAAATGTCTCTTCTTGTCCCATTCAACAGTATGAAAATAAAATAAAAACAAAAGCAAGTAGCCAGTTCAGTGTCACAGTGGGAAGGCTGTGGGCAGAGCAAGAGTCAGGAAGCCTGGGCCCAGGGTCAAGGTCTGCCATTCTGTGGGTTGCACGAATAGGGAAACTATTGAACTGTCTCATCTGGAGAATGGCTAAATTTGAAGAGTTCCTTCCAGACCTAAAAACTCTAGGATCAGAGGACCTGAGGTGAGCTCCTAACTTGGGTGCCTATAGGGTAGGCAAGATAACTTACCAAAGCTGTAACTTCCAGTCAGCATCCCACTGGCTAGCAATGAGGGTTTAGGAGGGAAATGGCAGGAAGGTGGAAGAAAGAAAAAGAGCGTAAGTCACTGGCTTTCCTCAGACATCTGCTCTTTACAGCACTCCAGCTGCCCTCCCGCATCCAAGGATGTCCAAAGGGAGTCCACTCTGTAGACTCGAGGCCTGGGCACTTAGGGAGAAGCTGAATGCTGCAATGGTTCTCAACCTTCCTAACGCCGCGACCCTTTAATACAGTTCCTCACGTTGTGGTGGCCCCCAACCATAAAATTATTTTCGTTGCTACTTCATAACTGTAATTTTGCTACTCTTATGAATAGTAATGTAAATATCTGATATGCAGGATGTATTTTCAGGGGTCGCAACCCACAGGTTGAGAACCGCTGGCAATCTTTAGACTCTCTTTCAATTGTATAACATAAACTACACAACATAGGGTTTACAGGCTTCTGCTCTAAGAGGGATGGGTGAGGACTCAATCCCCAGTAGGGGGTGTGCAGGAGGCAGCCGATCAATGATTTTCATCACTGATGTTTCTCTCTCTCTCTCCCTCTTCCTTCCTCTCTGAATAAAAAATAAAAATAGAACCATAGAGCCCCCTCTTCATCACAAAAATCATCTCATCAGAATCCTCTCAGTCTTTCCTAGAGCTTCTCTTTATATCCTTTGCACAATTCTTTAGACTGGTGCAGATGTGAATGAAAGGTGATGTATGGATGTGAACAGCTGGATGCAGCTGGGAGAAAGGAAAACACCGGTGAGGCAGAGTTTACCTGTGGCTGTTGGCTGGGCCTGAAACGGGGTTTGGCGAGCCAGAGGAATGCTTCCAAATGCAGAAGAGCTGGGGCTACTGCCAAAGGCATCGAAGTTGGCAAAGCCCCCATGGGAAGGTGTCTGGCCTATAGGTTAAGGAATGCAAAAGTTATATAGATAAAATGTATATTAATATACAGTAATATACACTAACTAGAATAATGGAATAATAATAGAATAATATACACTAATTCTAAAGGCCTTCAGAGGCCACCCGATGGGCCATCTGCCTTTCCACAGGATCCTTTTCAGAGGGAGATGCAGGGGCTTTTGGCAGAGAGCTAGACACAGGTGGGGGAAAGGGGATCTCAGAGGCTCTAAGTTCACTCCCATCACCTTTTTATTCTTAATCCATGAGGCATTAACATTTTTGTCAGGGTCTAGTTTGAGCAGAATCATGTGGGGAAAATTATTTTCTGGGGGAGAAAGGGGCTTGAAAAGCAAAAAGGGAAACTAGATACCACTTTATTCAACTCTATTATTGGCTATTGCTGATCTTTGGGAAGACGTTAGGATATACGGAACACGATAATCCCCCTGCTCCCATTTTAATAGAGTGAAAGTAATAAAAAGTCTATTTCCAGTGTTCTAAAAGAACATGCCAGGAGCCCCAACTCCCAAACATAATCCCTGGTACCCCTCTGACCCCAACCCTCCCAGCCTTGAGGCTTCGGAATTACCGTCACGTTTGTTCATGTGGAGATAGCTAGGGCCAAGTAGAACCTGGTCCCCCCGGCGAAGTGAATTTTTTGTGTTAAGGGTACATATGTTGTAGTAAGGTTCTTATCCCAAGTCCCACTTACCCCCAAAGGCTGGGAATGCAGCAAATGATGGTACTGTCTGGGGAGCAGCAAAGGGGTCTCCACCAATGTCAGCCAGCAGGTCAGTACTGGCTTTCTTGACCGAGGAGTGGGGAGGTGGCTGAGTGCTCCGGGGCTGAGATATCCGAGCCTGAGACTGGCTAACAGACTTGGATAAGACATTACATATAGCACTTGGAATCCCAGAAATGCCAGCCCCTGCAGGGCTCCCCAGGCGACCCCCAGATAGGCAAGTGGAGAGAGAGGAGAGCAAGAAACTGCTCTCAACTGAGAGGACTCCTGGGCAGAAACTGCCTTAGCTTCTCTCATACCTAATTCCTCTGTCTTCTCAGTACACCAGCTCCCAGAACCACACATTTTAGAGCATACTAGTCACGGTAACTCTGATATATACAGGGATATTGCCCAACAGTGCCCCTGGAGCTGTTACCTCCTCATCTTTCCCAGGTGCTTGAAGCAGAGTCCTGGCCCCTTCTGTGTTTCCTTGGAGGAATGGTCAGGTTTGGAGTTCATACTCTGACTTCCCTAAATACCACTTCCTGTTGGTTCTTTCTTCCAAAAGATATGAGTCCAAGGTGACAGATGCAAGACATAGGTAACAGCAGGGCTGAGAACCAACTCACAGCTCCTGAACTGCTGTCTACTAAGTCCAGGAGATTTAGGAAACTGATACTCCTGTCTCCCAAATTCCAAAGTAATCGTGAAGGGCAGATCTGAGAGTTACCTGGCTAGAGGTGGAGGCATCAGCTGAAAGAGATGACACAGGATCCCCCAGAAGTGTACGCAGAGGCTTCCCTTCTGGGATGGAGCCCTGGATAGGGGTGGAGGCACTGCCTTTGGTGTAAGTGGGCCCCTTGACTTGATCTGGGGGGACATACCTTCAAGAAAGAATATTAGGTTGAAAGGGGAGGGGTAAACCTTGGACCACGCTCACCTTAGGTGCTTGGAAAAACACAGGTTATAGCAGCCAAAATCCTTTTTCATTTTCTCCTAATTTTCTTTTTTGAACTAAAAGGAATTTAGCAACAAAGCAAAATTCTGCCTATCTTGAGATTCCCCTTTACTGTCAGATGCTCATTTTTTTTCTGCAGGACGTTCAGTTTCCTCTGGCTTATGCCTATTATTTCTTCCTCTTTCTGACGTCAAACCATCTGGGTTTCAAGTATAACATCTGCAATAATGCTGATGGATAGGTGATCCTATTTTCCAGCTTCCTACTCAAGGTCCTTCCTTTTATTTCTGGGTATTTCTTCAGATTCTCAGTCTCATAGTAAAACTTTCTGCCACCTCATCTTCTAAGAGCTCAAAACCTCTCCTGCCAGGTCCTGTTACTTTTTATAAAATCCCTCTCACTACAGTGTGTTTGGTCTCTATTCTGAAAGAATATTCTTTTTTGTGAGGACACCCCCAGGAGGGAATCCAAAGTGCTGCTTTATCTACCACACCAATCTCCTCGCATTCTCTTCTCAACCTTATAGTTACTCCCAACATTCTCATGCCCCAAAATCAAACAATAAGAAGTGACACCTCGGGAAAGAAAAGGTAGGGGAGAACAGAGACGTTTTCCTCTTCCAGAAAACAACAAACATACAAATCATGAATGAAATGATGGGCTAAAAGCAAAAAATTATATAGGACATATATAAAATCAGGTGAGCTACAAAAACTGACCCCCACTCCCACAGGCCTAGCTCCCCCTCCAGTTAGCCTACCATCTTCCCAAAAGAGGGGACATCAAAGCTGCAAGGTTAGTGACCAAGAACAAGTTATCTTCCATGTAGCTTTATTATTTTGAAGGCAGAATTAAGCCCTAACCAAATCTGAGTGAAACAGACTCAACCCAAGTTTAGCTTTTGAGAGAAGCCCCAATTCAACTCTAGAATCTGGACTATCAGATGAAGTATGTATTGGACACATGTCTTCATATCAATCTCTTTCTTCCTCCTTACCATCTCTTCTTCTCATATTTTTCCTGGAGAAACTCCTTCACTTTCTGAGGATCCCTGGAATCTGGTATTAAAGATGTCCGAGCATCAAAGAGACCCAGCCAAATCTTCCTGCAAACCTAAAGGAATGGAGTTAGGTGACAGAGGAGTTGGGGCAGAAAGCATGAAAGGGGAATGATACCACTTCCAGTTTATTCATCAATAAATATCTACTGAGCATGGACACAGTGTGAAGACATGATGCCCTGTCCTCACAGAGCTGTCATCTAATGGGGAGGTCATGCTTTAAATTAAAAAAAAAATAAACATAATTATATACTGTTACAAATATTATAAAAGAAACTAGAGGCCCGGTGCATGAGATTTGTGTACTGGGGGGCTGGGGGTGTCCTTCAGCCTGGCCTGTGCCCTCTCACAGTCCAGGACCCCTCACTCCTTATCATCCGCCTCCGATGCTGTGCTCGCCAGCTGTGAGCCTGGCTTCTGTTCTGGCTGAGCGGTGCTCCCCCGTGGGAGTGCACTGACCATCAGGGAGCAGCTCCTGCATTGAGCGTCTGCCCCTGGTGGTCAGTGCGCATCATAGCGACTGGTTGTTCCGCAGTTCGGTCGATTTGCATATTATGCTTTTATTATATAGGAGGATTAGAGGGCCATGAGAATTATGGGAACTAAATTTGGATGGGGGTGAGGTCAGGGGCAATTTTCAGAGCTGTGGTTTCTAGAACACCCTCCAGAGGCCCTTGTTTACACCCTGCAAGTAAGCCAATCAGTTGTAAGCTAGGTGTACTGCTAACAACAAGAATGGCATCTTGCTACCAGCAGATTTAGCTGAGGAAGGGGTTTAACTCACTTTCAAGTAAATGACATAGACTTAAATCTGGGTTGCTAAGGCTCAAGTCAGCTCTAGGAGATCTTAATGAGAGTGGCTGGCCCAATCAACTCTAAATGCTCATCAAGGTGAAACTCTAACCATTTTTCCCCTCAAGTGCCCAAGAACAACCTTCTGTAGAGATTTTGCTTCTTTCCCTGATTCCTCCAACAAGGGGCCTACAAACCACAATTTGCATAACTGAGATCTGTAAATATACATAAGGCAAGATATCTTATATTCTAAAAAATAAGAGAAACGACTAGAAAAAAACGGAAGGGTTTTTCTATAATCTTAAGACAAAGCTCTCCAGCAGATAGGGCAACTATTAGCCTGTAATACTCCATCAGCGGCTGCTCACCTCGTTTCCACGGGATTGCAGGAAAACTACTTCAGGCTCAGTGAAAGTTGTCATGGAGATGGATTTGACTCGATGAGGGGGGTTCAGGCCTCTCCTGTGGGAGAGAAATAGAAAGAAAGTGAAGTATAATGCAGTTAGCACTGCAGGTCTGTTTATGGGAGGGGAGGCAGGGAGAAAGGATAAAACAACACATAAATTAGCCTCAAGCAGAACTTCCTTCCTGAGCTACTTCCTAATTCAAAGAAAGGAAGCAAGAATGTTTTGGAGGCTTCTAGTAAGAGACAAGGACGACAGAGTGAGGAAGGCAGAGACTGCCCCTCCAGAGACCTCCTCTATATTGGCTCAGACCCCCAACAGTTCAGTGTTCAGCTGAGGGGGTACTTCTGGGAACTCAGATGTGCAACCACTTCCCATTTCCTGTTTTATCATTGTTTGAGACCTACAGCACATCCTCAAGGTCCCAGAGCCCATATATTTCTCAAGAACAAGGGAAGACAAAAATAAAGGCCCATGATAATTCCTGATTAATACTAACAAAGATAAGATTTAAAGACAAAAAACAGAGTCCCTAGGCTAGCTGCTGCTCCTCGTGTCTATACAGAAGTTTGGCATGGTAGTAGGAATAGAGAGGGTCCCTCTCTTTCAGGAAGAAATCTCTGGGAAAAGAAATATTCTGGATTTTCTCATTTCTAGATCTTTCAATGAAGCAGGAGGAAATCAGGTTCAACAATGAGATATGAGATTGGCATGTGAATGCTTTTGTGCAAGCTCTGGGTTAACTCCTTGGGAGTTGCCCCCCGCCCCCCGGGCCGCAACTGCCTCCAGTGTTCTAATGGGAAACCTGAGGCTAAGCCAAGCAGGTTCCTTATACCTTAAGCTTGACTCTGGTCTAGACCTACTGCCCTCATCAGATTAAAACATAACTGGCTAAACCAAAACAAATAAACTAGACCCTGGGATCAGGAATGAAAGACCACAGGCACATTCAGGAAAGACAGTCCAAATGATGAGAATCTTCAAACTTTTACTCTCCTGGAAAAAGTGAGTGGATCAAGATGTGAAAATAAAAGCACTGTAACTCTAGAATAGGGTCCTGGTTGATGCCCTCAGAAAAGCAAAGGGAGAAGGAAGAGATAACAAAATTTACCAAATGAAAATCCTAGAAAAAGGTGGGGACAACACATTCATGCTTACAGGTGCACACACAGAATAAAGATGCTCCTGCCAAGGCTGGAAGAACGGCAGTGTTTGGGTTAGTGTAAATGAAGATGGTGGGGGCAGGGAGGGAGGACAGATGACACAGTACAGAGTGAACAGTAAAGGGCAGGCTCCTTTTGGAGGCTAAATTTCTGATGGCGGATTCTAACAAAGGACAGGACATTGGAGGCGACAATGGAGGCTACAACTGAGGGCACTTTCAATAATTCTGCTGCTAGATTTTCAGTAGAGTCTGAAAATACTCCTTTAAAAAACAAGCAATATCAATGAGGAAAGATAATAGCAGGGAGAACCAGAAGCCAGGCTTTGTTACTACATGTCAAACAATAGCTCTTAAACTTGATCTGCCCTGAAGACTCTCTTCTGATCACATTTCAGAGATATTCCAGTTTTCTCTCCTGAAGCCTCTCTTACTAATGGTTTTGTTTTGTTTCATTTTGAAGTCCAGACAGCCTACTTCTATATTCCTTCCCTTGCCCTTTCTCACCTTAACAACTAGTCCCTTCCCTCTCAGAATACCAAACCTTTCTGAGGTCTAGCCAGAGCAGACCTCCCTGACCTGATGATCCTGGTCCTCTTCTTCACCTCCCACTAACAAATATTTACTTTGCCAAAACACAAGGCATTGTGATAGGCACTTTGAGGGATACAAAAATTATAGACCCCAGTCCTCAATCACTGGACTGCTGGCTTATAAGAAGGAACCAAGGAGCCTGGACAAGAGTACTTCTCAACGCAGTAGGGTGTAATTTAGGCACACAGCTGGATCAGGGAGAATTAGCCCCATGATGCAGTAGTGGAGGAAGGAATGATAAATGGTATCAGGGGAAAAGTAAAAATATATTATGTTTACACTTGAAAAACAGATTCTAAGCCTATCACACAAAGGTCACTGACATTTCCGGAAAGAAGAATCAGGAACTGTTAGCAAAGTATAAACAGGGAGGTGCGCTTTCTTATAGAGGGAGGGGAAGGGACTTGACCCATGTATCAATCTAGAGGAGATGCTTAGAACAACAAAACTTTCTTTTAAGCCCTGACCGGTTTGGCTCAGTGGATAGAGCTTCGGCCTGCGGACTCAAGGGTCCCGGGTTCGATTTCGGTCAAGGGCATGTACCTTGGTTGCGGGCACATCCCCAGTAGGGGGTGTGCAGGAGGCAGCTGATCGATGTTTCTAACTCTCTATCCTTCTCCCTTCCTCTCTGTAAAAAATCAATAAAAAAAATAAAAAAACTTTCTTTAAAAAAATTTTTTTTGATTGATTTCAGATAGGAAGATGGAGAGATAGAAACATCAATGATGAGAGAGATTCATTGATTAGCTGCCTTTTGCACACCCTCATTGGGGATTGAGCCTGTAACTTGGGCATGTTGCCCTGCCCCATGCCCTGACCGGGAAATCTAACTGTGACCTCCTAGTACATAGGTTGACCCTCAACCACTGAGCCATGCCAGGTCAACAGAACTTTCTATGGCTAAGCTTGAACTAGAGGTTTTTTGTGTGTGTTTTTTTGAGGGGGAGGAAGGATGAGACAGGATAAAGGGAAGGCAGAGAAACTGATTTAGATTCGTTGGGCCAAATGAATCTGACGGAATAGGATGTTTCCGAAGCATAACCACCATTGCTTTGACCTTAATGTCTGTAGATTGGCTTATGTACTATAACCAGAGCCACAGTATAGGGGCAGAGAGAGTTCTCTATAAGGTAACACAACATTCTGCCGCCCAGAAGGACTAGCTCCATGGCCTATGAGTCAGAATTTGTTTCTGAATCATAGAGGCCATTGCTGGCTGAGAGAAGCAATTTAGAAACAGGAGCCCCTCCCCTCCCAGTAGATGACACTAAGTTGTCTAGGAGTTTTGCTTTCCCTTGGGTACATACCAGGGTCATCCAGTGGGTCAGATGTGAGTCACTGACCTAGAATTAAACAGACCCAACTCTCCAACTTGGATGTAATCTCCCCAAATTAATTCAGGTTCTCCCCAAAAGAAGTGAGAACTAGAAGGAAGTACCCTTCTGTTATTTCTAACCAGGAGGTGCTGGGAGAAATATAGAGATAAATTTATTTGCCCAGAATAGTGTAAGTTTTTCCAGTTGAAAGCAAGTACACTATTAGGATGCAAACCTTGAGCCCAGTCATAAAGTCTTTTTCCACTTCAGTTTCCTTTTCCCCAAAATGAACCTAAATAACATTTGAAGTACTCAATCTTTAAAGTACTCTGAATTACTTGGCAAGTGAAGCAATTTTCAGAGATACTAAAGTCTGCCCAATTCTCTCTCTTAGCCTTTCTCTCCTCTCCCTCTATTAAGCACCCTAATGTTTCTAGATACCACATCTTTCATTTCTCTGCGGTCATCACCCTCAAACTGGCCCATATTTTGCTTCTAGCTTGCTTCATAAAAGTCTCAAACCTGCTCAGCTGCTCAGATGAGAAGGTTCTGCCAGGTCAACAATGGAAAAAAACAGTTCCACCCAGCACCCAAGTGCTTTCATTTGTGCCAAATCTGAACTTGGGAACTCCTTACCTCTGAATATTTGTGTTCAAATTTGTACACCCCAGTTTGTATTTCTTAGCCTAAGCAGAGGTTAGCTAACCAGTTTAATCCTTATCTTGAACCCAAACATCATCAAGAAGAGTCCCTAATAGGGAGTATCCCTATTACACTGTTCCAGGGTCAAATTCACTAATTTTAGGAAACTTCTTCCTAATCTAAATTCCCCTGCTTCAAGCCATTTCCTGTTGTTGTTCCTCAGTGACAATGATAACAGCTGTCCTCTCTTGTGGTCACTAGAATCCTGATATTATCAGCTGCCTTCCTCTTCAGGCTCAATGCTAATCCTTTTACAATTTTTTCTTTTCTTCTCTTTTCTTTGGTAACTTATTTTCTTAGGGTTTTTTTAAGTTGTCCAAGGGCTTCATACGATAAAGTGCTTAAGTCTGTAACTTAGTGAAACTCTGTCCATCTCAGCCCAGCAGAGGAGAATATGAAAGGTGAGGTGGGAGGGGATGGAGGGATGGGACTAAATAAGGGCAAGGTACATGTCTATCTCTCCAACCCAGACAGATGGAAAAGTACTGAATTATTAAGACACACCTTTCCCTTCATGGAGATAAAAAGTGCTTCAACTGGGAGCCACCACTAACAAACCAGACAAGGGGTGACAGAGGGTAAAACTTGTCACAAATAAAGAGCTATCAAGCACATCTCTTGACACCCAGCCCAGAGCTCTGCCCACCTTAATCCTGATTCAATCCCATCATCAGAGTAAAGTTGTGCAGAAGTAGAAAAGACAAGTATTCACTGAGACTTGAAGGACAATGGCTTAAACGATGGACCCAGTCATGTCAGGGAAGCATGTCACATACTTTGCTGGAAAAACTGGGTATCAAAGGTAGTACCCATCCCTGATGCCAATGACATTTTAGGCCTCACCATGCTTTCTTCTTACAGAAAAGGGATTTATTCATTGAGGCAAGCAAGCAAACCAGAACAAGGAAGAACATCTAAGGCTCTGCTTTAGAAATGCTTTTTAACAGCGATTTTTACCCCAACCTAGCTTCAAATAGCAGATTCATCCTTTGGTAGAAGAGTCAGAAAAATAAACAAACTAGCACATGTACCTGTACAGGGTGGGGCAAAAGTAGATTTAGAATACAGCTTATTCTTGTATTTTTATTAATTATTGTATTATTTCCATACAAACATGGGCAAATTAAAAAGATCTATACCAAGTTAAGGAAATTAGGTATTGGAAGAAAACCAATGAATAAAACCAATGAATAAAAACTAGGTCAAATTTGGGACCTACAATTGCGGTAGTATGTATGTAAATTTAGAAACAGCAGAAACAGCCTCTCTCTCTCAGGCCCTCACACCAACACTGTGGGTTTTTGCTACAGCTGAGAAAGTATTTCTCATTAAAAAAGAGATAGTGAGAATGAGCTCACATGTGCAGAGATGAATGCTTAGTCATCACCCACCCACAAATATTAAAATCTGAATTTTTCTTCAGATCTTGGGAAATTCAACTTGGGCTGGAACAGTCAACCTTGCTACATCAGCCAATTCAGCCGGCCTGTAACTCTGGTTATTCTTCTCACTGCCCCCAGAATACTCCATCCCTCTAAGACAGTGGTTCTCAACCTTCCTAATGCCGCGACTCTTTAATACAGTTCCTCATGTTGTGGTGACCCTCAATTTCATTGTTACAAATTGAACATAATTAAAGCATAGTGATTAATCACAAAAACAATATGTAATTATATATGTTTTCCGATGGTCTTAGGCAACCCCTGTGAAAGGGTCATTCGACCCCCAAAGGGGTCGCGACCCACTGGTTGAGAACCGCTGACCTAAGAGGTAAACATATTTGTAACACCCTCAACAAAACTGTCTTTCAAAATACCAAGCCAATTCTGCTGTCTCCTTTCTCTGGAGATGGTGTTAAGTATGGTACTTCAATTTCGCCCTCAATATCCTCTTCACTTTTTGTTGTTGTTAATCCTCACCGGAGAATATTTTTTCCACTGATTTTTAGAGAGAGTGGAAGGAAGGGAAGAAGAGGGAGAGAGAGAAACATCGATGTGAAAGGGACACATTGATTGGTTGCTTCCCCAACTGCCCTGAGACCAGGGTGGAGATCAAAGCTGCAACCCAGATATGTACCCTTGATTGGGAATCAAATCCTTGACACTTCATTGCGTGGACCAACACTCTAACCACTGAGTGACACTGGCCAGGGTACCTCTTCATTTTAACAAAGAATATTTCATCTCTTTTTGTCATCATACATCAATATGAGTTCCCACCACTCTCTGGCCCATGCTGAGCTTTATTTTACTCCATAACATTTATCACTACCTGCAATTATATATTTAATTATTTATTTACAGTTCATGGCCTTTACTAGGATGTAAGCTACATGAATATGGGTACTTTGTCAATTTTATTACCATATCTCCAACACCTAAAACAGTGTCTGGGGCTTGATAGACACTCAATAAGTATTCGTTGACGGATTGAATAAATGAATGTGCAGATTTTTGGCCGACCACAATTTTCACTATCACAAAAATCCTAATCTATGGGCAATCAACCATGTGGATTTATGGTGTTAACTTGTGTATGTGTCACTGTGGAGCCATGCCTCTCCATTGCCTGCTGGATTGTGTGTGCTCCATCCCTCACTCTGCAGAATGCAATAAGTATGCTCCATCTCACACATTCTGCCTCTGGCCACCACCAGCTCCCAGCCCTTCCCACATCAGAGGGCACAGGTAGTAGTCTGTTAAGACACCTTTAAAAGTTTATATGCCTTGCTCTCGTCCATGCTAATTACAACTCCAATTAGCAAATGAGAAGTACCACTGGAACCCACGCAGATAATCACAGTCAAGGAAACTAAAGCTTCCTTATAGAATGTCATCTGATATATCTTTCTTGATAACCTCAACATGCCTTCAGTTCAGTTTCATTTAGTGACCCAGCCCCTTTTTGACCCTTCACTCTACTGTGACTTCCTGCTAACATAGGGTTGGCCTAGCTTCTTGTTTCCCAATCACCAAAATATGTTCCCTAAAGTCTACCACTTCAAGAATCACTCATAATGCTTTACCAAAATACTTGGCAAAAAAGTCCTTTCTAGAAAATTTTAAAACTAAAAAAAAAAAAAAACCCTAAAAAAAAAAAAGAGCTAGTGGATTCCTACCATTTGTTCCCATTGGAACTTAAGTTCCTAAAAAGCTAAGCCCTAGAGATTCCAAAATGGGGCCAGAATAAGTGGAAGCTGACATGTTCCCAGGACCAAATGGGAGTTACAACTAAAATACAGAAAAACCATCCTGAAGAGTCAACTGAAGAGTAGCTGCAGAGAACCCCGATACCAAGGACGGAAAGTGGAGTCCACATACAGACTGACCTCAAAAACAAACAAACAAACAAACAAACAAACAAACAAACAAACAAACAGCTAAGCCCTAGTCTGAGGAACATACACCTTAGACCAAGGGGGTGGGGAACCCTTTTTCTGCCAAGGGCCATTTGGATATTTATAACATCATTTGAGGGCCATACAAAATTATCAACTTAAAAATTAACTAACCTCTAAATGCCTTGGCAGGATCAGACCTAATTATTTCATGGGCCTTATATATGGCCTGAGGGCTGGACAGGCCTCTCCCCTGCCTTAGACAGAGCCAGGCCTCTTGGGGTACTTTTCTATTAATCAACCCTTATGCCATACTCACCTCCACCCAGTGTCTCTCTAGATCAGTCATTTGACTTTTCATTAATGGGATCAACAATCATGACCACTGGAGAAAGTGGTCAAGTTTTGCAAATTGCGCACTGATATTTAGGGAGTTAACTTTTCCAGCAAAAGAAACCAGGTTTTTAATGTGTCCCAGATCCCTTGCCCCTCCTTCTGTCCTGATTGAAGGATATTCATTATAAAAGGGAAATGTTGTCTGTGGGATACTTTAAACCAAGATCTATAAAATTATGATAACGATGTCAGCACTTCCAGGGTTTTATCTTTCATTCCATCACAGCTAACCATGGGAATGAATTAACACTGTTTCTTAGCATTTTCTTCCTAGGACCTAATATCATCAATTTTAACCTTCTGCTTTTCTTTACTTTTTTCCAGACTCTATAATCAGATTTTCCTTTTCATAACAAGGTCTTCAGGAATCTGCTCTCTTTCTACTTTATGCTATAAATATTTCTAAATTTTGCTCCTTCTCTCGTCAGAGTGCTTGTCCTAATCTCTAGTTTCTATCATTTTGCTTCACTTTCATTTCTACCACAGCTTTTGACACATTTCTATTTGGATTCTAAATCATTATCCTAAGAGCCACAGTGGCTTTTACTTAGACCCAAGTCAAATCCTTCCTCACAATACCCAAGTGAGATTGATCAGAACATAGCAGTTTGACAAAGGAGGTAAAAACTGAATATAGAAGTTATCCTAAACTGTATCTTAGAAGACCTGGATCCTCATTTCTGATCTGCCATGATCATAACTAATATCAAACAACAAATGCTGAAAACAGCAAGCCCCGTACAGCATTGGATAAATTACTAAACCTCTCTTTGCTTCAGTTTTCCCATCTGTCAAGCAAGAGCAATACTGCTCTCTCCTTGGCTCCTAAAGGTGTAAGAAGAAACAAGGACAGCACTCCTTGTTAAAAATGAAACCAATAACCAAACAAACTAATGTATTAAAACAATACTAAAAAACAGCAATAATAAACCCCTTGATAAAAAAGAGAGATACAGGCTTGGTATCAAATGTTAATCATGTATCTAACCAAACAACTCCCAAAGGGGGGGGGGGATTTACTATATAACCAGAAATCTGGGCTAGAACTGTGGTTCTAAATTAGCTCAGGCATGGCCAAATACAGCGCTAGTGCCAAGGATAGCGAATCAGATTATACAACCATTCTCCTCTCTCCCTCGGTCTAGAAGGAGTTGCAAGATGTTACTACTAGGATCAAGCCATGGCAACAAGGAGCTTAAAGACGTAAATTATTACACATAAGGATGGCAGATCCAGATCTACAAGCCTTCGGAAAAGTTGGAAAAGTTGAGCTCTCTAACAGGGCAGCCCATCAGCTCTCATCATCACTTAGATCTGTAAGATACCTCCTTCTGGGTGGCATTTCAAAGCCCTGCAAGATGAGGATCTGCACCTGGACACTTGAACTGGACCCTTACCTGCCACTATCCCTGTGCTCTCAACCTGGGTCAATTTGCCTATTTTAACTCGCTTTCTCCATCTCCCACTCCAGGATGGCCCCAAGCCAGAAGGAAGACAGGTGCTCCTTCATCTTGAGTCCAGTTTGCCCTACTCTTTCCTTTTTGTCCTCCGGCTACATGAAGTTCCCTTTCAAGGGCTATGTCATTCTCCAGCCTTTTAAATCTCCAACCGCCTCCCCTCAGTTCTCTTCAACCATCCATCCCCACTTTCGGTTCTCCTTGCCTCCCGTAGGGAGTTTCTCCCTTCCTCGCCTGTGTCCTTCCTTCTCCTGCATCGCGACTCCAATCGTGTGTCTGGCCTCGGCTGCCCCTTCCCTTTCCCCCTGACACCTCTGCCACAGAGGACTCTCGCCACATCCGGCGCGTCCCCATGCCCCCCCGCCACCCCTCACCTCGGCTCCGTCCCTTCGCCGGCCTTCACGCCGACTCCCCGCCACTCCTTCGCGGCCACCCCTTCCCCCCGCGCCAGTCCACTCACAGGAGGCCGGAGCAGGTGGTGCAGACGAAGCTGCCCACGGTGATGTCCACGTAGGTGACGCCGCGCTGGGCGCACTCGAAGCAGTGGCGGTTCCCGGCCTGGCTGCAGCCGCCCAGCTCCCGCACCCGGCGACACCACACCTCCGAAGCCGCCTCCGCCTCCGTCTTTCCCCCGCCGACCCCGCCGCCCGGCCCCGGGCCCTTCTTCGCCGCCATCACCATGACCGCCCACTCCCTCGGACTTCCTCCTAGCAAATCAGCAATCGCCCCTTCCCTTTCAACCACTACCGCCTTCCCGCCTCCTCAGTCGCCTCCGCACGCCAGACTCCCCTGACAGAAGCTGGGGAGCCCGCGGCGTCCGCGCGAGACTCCTCAGCCCCAAGCCTCGCCTATCCTGCACACTGATTGGCTAGTCTCCTCCCACCTCCTCACTCTGATTGGCCCGACATTAGACGGCCTCTACTTGCGGTAGCCGCCAATGCCACACCCTACTGCCTAGAGACCTTAGGCCTCTGCCATTGGCCCGCAGAGATCCTGGCCGCGAAGACTGTGCGTGCCCCCTTCTTGTTCCCTCCCCATCTCGCCACAGCCTGCAAAGCGCCCGCCTCCCGGACTAGAAGGGTGCATTCTCGGAACTTGGGCTCCGTCGCCTATTCTGATTGGCTGTCCAGGTTGCAAAGGTAGCACGCAGGGGTGTAGGTGTCCCGCGCATGCGCAGCTCTGGTTCTCCCGACTGATGACATTAATTCCCGCCAAATTTCAAAGTCCTAGTCTTAGCTAGACTGTGCAGAGAAGCACGCAAAGCAGAAGAGACGTGGCCATAAGGAGACCGAGGGGAGAGGGAAAGAGCTCTCAGAGGAAGGGAGGGAGGAAAGAGAGTGCTTTATACATGCTATTTTATTTAATCCTACCGATGCCACAGGAAATTTCATTTTACATTATTAGATTATACAATTTACAGTAGGCCCAGCCAGAATTCTGATATGAGTCATATATATATATATATATATATATATATATATATATATATATATATATATATATATATGTTTTTGTTTATTTCAGAGAGAGGAAGGGAGGAGAGATAGACCCATCAATGAAAAGAATCATCCACCGGCTGCCTCCTGCATGCCCCCTACTGGGGGTGGAGACTGCAACCCAGGCATGTGCCTTGAGCAGAAATCAACTGGTTCCTGGGTTGATGCCCAACCAAGAGCCACTCCAGTGGGCAAGTCTGGGTCGTCTTACTTTAGAAACGCTGCTTTTAATCACCACACAATCCATGGAATAGTATTTGACCATTCATTTGACAAATACTTACTGACTACCTACTAGGTTTCAGGCACTGTTCTGGACAACCAATCAAATTCCTATCTTCATGGAGCTTACATTCTAGTAGGGAAAGGCACACAATGAATAGTTACAGAATCATTAGTTAATGATACGTTCTATGCAGAGAATTAAAATAAGCTATTGTAAATGAGAGTGACTTGCCCAGCCCATCTTGCTCAGTGATTGAGTGTGGACCCATGAACCAGGAGGTCATGGAATCCCCATCAGGGAACATGACCAGGTTTCGGGCTCTAGGGGTACAGTGGGCAGCCCATCAGTGATTCTCTCTCGTTGTTGATCTCTCTCTCTCTCTCTCTCTCTCTCTCTCTCTCTCTGTATCTCTCTCTCTCTCTCTCTCTCTCTCTCTCTCTCTCTCTCTCTCTCTCCCTTCCTCTCTCTGAAATCAATAAAAACTTTTTTTTTAAAGTGACTTGTTGGGTATCTTAGACTGTTCAGTAAAACTATCTCTAATGCAGTAATATTTAAGCTGAAACCTGATTAACAAAAAGGAGTCAGCCATGAGGAGTCCTGAGGAGGAGCAAGCCAGGCAAAAGGAAGTATAAAGGCCCTAAAGCATGAAGAAGTTTTGTGTATTGAAGCAGCAAAAAAGAAAGCCAGAGTGGGCGAAGCGTGGTGAAATGAGTGAAAAGTGGGAGGGATTATACTGGAGGGTTAAAAGTGGGAGTGGAACCAGATTATGCAGAACCTTCCAGACTTCGGTTAGGAGTTTGGATTTTCTTCTAAGTGTGATGGGAAGCTGGTGGATTCATTAGAATTGGGTCCCACTGTGACAGAAAACCCAAAATAATTGGGGCTTAAGCCAGATGAAGTTTATTTCTCTCTCATGAAATAGTCTTATAGGCATTCTAGGGCTAGTGGGCTGCTCCACTGTGCCAGAGACCCAGGCTCCTTCTACCTTGTTTCTCCATAATGCATTACCTACACTCCCAAGTTTACCTCATGATCTATCCTAGCTTCAGCCATCATGTCTGTTACAGCAGCAGGGAGATCCTGTTCTATTTAAGGACATGCCATGAAACTGTACACAGTCACATTGGTCAGAACTCAGTCCCATGAACACACCTAAGTGCAAAGAGGGACTGAAAAATGTATTCTTTTAAAAAATATATTTTTTATTGATTTCAGAGAGAAAGGGAGAGGGAGAGAGAGATAGAAACATAAATGTTATATCATTGATTAGCTGCCTCCTGCATGCCCCCTACTAAAGATTCAGCCTGCAACCCGGGCATGTACCCTAACCAGGAATTGAAACTCCTAGTTCATAGGTCAATGCTCAACCACTCAGCTATGCCGGCTGGGCTGAAAAATGTATTCTTTATTTTGGGCCTCCATGTGCTCACTTCAGAGGTTCTGTTACTGATGTTGAAAGGGAGAAAGGATATTAGGATAAAACCACAGTCTCAGCCACAGAAGCCATTGGAAGGATTGTAGCCAGGGCAAGATGTGGGCTGACTTTCAGTTTTAAAAAAATAATTCTGGCCCTAGCTGTTTGGCTCAGTGGCTAGAGCATCAGCCTGCAGAGTGAAGGGTCCTGGGTTCGATTCCAGTCAACCGTACATGGCCGGGTTTGTGGGCTTGATCCCCAGTAGGGGGCGTGCAGGAGGCAACCTATCAATGATTCTCTCTCATTGATGTTTCTACTGATCTCTCCCTCTCCCTTCCTCTCTGAAATCAATAAAAACATATATTTTTAAAATAATAATAATAATAATTCTGTCCGCTATAGGGGAAATGGTTATAGGTAAGATCGAAAGTAGGCAATTGAGAAGTAAGTTCAGCAGTACAAGAAAGGTAGTGGTGCCATAAACCGTGCTGATAGGAGTGGGCTGGAAAGAAATGGATGGATTCAGAGAATGTTTTGGATATAAAATCCATAGAACTTGTTTACATGTGGGAGGTGAGGGAAAGAGGAACCAATGACCACCTCTTTAGAGAAGTGCCATCCAATAGAACTCTCTGTTCCATTTGTGACTATCTAATATGGTAGCTACTAGCCACATGTAGCTATTGAGCACTTGAAATGAGGTTAGTAAAACTGAGACCCTGAAGATTTTATTTTACTTAATGTTAATTAAATCAAATTTAAGTTTAAATAGTCACATGTGGTTAATGGCAACCATATTGGACAGGGAAGCTCTCATTTTGTTTTGAGCAACTGGGCAGCTTATGGTGCCATTTATTGGAAAAGAGGTTACTGTAGCAGGAGCAGGTCAGGGGATACTGATAGCTAAAATGTGTACTTTGTTCCATTTTTCCAGTTATCAAAACTACAAATGCACTTTAAGTCCCTAAAAGGAGGCAACACCAAGTCATATCCAGATATGCAGATGTGACATCTCAAACCACTTTAAACATTTCTTCTAAATTTCAGAATTCACAGTTACCAAGTGCTGCCTATTCCTCCTAAGGTTTCTCATTAGCCAAGGGTTATTTCTTATCATCCTAAAACCTGAACAAATTGGTAGACTTAGCTGCCATCAAACCTGATGTATACAATAGTGGGGGAGGAAAATTAGAACACTAATATGGATTGTGATAGCTTTCTATTAATTTGTATCACTGGGTATAGTGGTACAAGGAAGCACCCACCTCTGACCCTCCCAGGCCCTATCAGGGAGTATAACGCTTCATAATCAGGGGGAGCACACTAGCACAGGAACATCCTCTTCTGCACTGCCCTAGTGCAGTGATGGCGAACCTTTTGAGCTCGGCGTGTCAGCATTTTGAAAAACCCTAACTTAACTCTGGTGCCGTGTCACATATAGAAATTTTTTGATCTTTGCAACCATAGTAAAACAAAGACTTATATTTTTGATATTTATTTTATATATTTAAATGCCATTTAACAAAGAAAAATCAACCAAAAAAATGAGTTCGCGCGTCACCTCTGACACGCTTGTATAGGTTCGCCATCACTGCCCTAGTGGTAAGAGGAATTGCAAATGGAGAGGTAGAACCCTTATTGGGTTACCTGCTGAAAACATCTCATCCTTAGGAGATGGAAAGCAAACATTTTTAGAGAGAAGTAATAGTGAGAGCTGCCACCCTCCATCCCCACCCAGCTCTTTGTTTCTGGGCTTCTCTATCGGCTGAGGGAGAGCTGACGCTGCATTTCAGTCACTGTTTGAGATCACATATCACTTTCTGTAAGAAAGCATCCTAGCCTCATGGTGCAGTCTCCTGGATGCTGCCGGATCTGTGTTCAGAACAACATTTCATTGTTCTATACGGCCAGCTGCTTCCAGTGGATGGGAAATATGATAATGGCCCCTGGCTTGCCAACTGTCTTATTTCTTTCACTGGGAAGTGAGTTTCTTGGTTGGAGACCATTTTGTCTGGACCGCATTTGTGTTATGCAAAGTCAATAACTCCAGGGATGGTGAAATAGTCAGAGGCATGACCTGCTGGGAAAGAAAAACTAAATACAGAATAAACATTTTTCCCCCAGGGTGTTTAAATCACCACACCCTCTATGAGAGAAGGAACCTGAGAGAGTTGAACCTGCCACTAAATTCCTGACAGGTTCCCAAAAAGCTGGGTGCTCTAGTACAGCCTCAGGACTGTACCAGTCTCCTAGTGAGTTCACTGACTATAATACCTTTTTCCAGCTGATTATCTTCATTTTCCAGGTAGAGATCACGTTATCTTCAAATAACAACAGGTTTGTTTTTTTTAATTGATTTTTTACAGAGAAGAAGGGAAAGGGATAGAGAGCTATAAACATCGATCAGCTGCCTCCTGCACACTCCCCACTGGGGATGTGCCCGCAACCAAGGTACATGCCCTTGACCGGAATCGAACCCGAGACCCTTGAGTCCGCAGGCCGATGCTCATCCACTGAGCCAAACCGGTTAGGGCTCAAATGATGACAGTTTTAACTTTTTTTGATTTTTCTATCTCTACTTACTTTCTCTTGTCTAATTAAGTTGTTAAATATCTAGAAGCACTTAGTTAACAGTGGATATCTTTTCTTATTCTATAAGGAAAGAAATATAATAAGAATCTCTACAAGAAAGCTGTAGTTTCCCTGACTGTGACTGTCTGCCTGGGTACTTCTCATTTGCTAGAGTTCTGATTAGCATGAAGTGGAGCAAGGCATGAAAGCTTTTAAAGGAATCTTAACAAAGTAATACCTGTGTCCTTTGATGTACTGTCGGGAGGGCTGGGAGCTGGCAGGTGG